TTTTTTTTTTTTTTTTTTTTTCAAACACCGGTCGGTGGAGAATTATCGAATTCGGTCCGGCCGTGCGGCGTATTGTCGCGGAACGCGGACGAAAAATTTTAAAAAAATCAATAAAAAAAAAAAAAATCCGGGCAAAAAGACGCCCCCCCCCCACCCCGCTCCATCGACCGTCCGTGAAACGTAAGAGCGGGTGAGACGGACGGGGCAATACTCACGGGCAGATAAAGTATCACGGCGAGTATCACAAACGTTTTCATCGTCGCGCCGTCGTTCACGTGTCCGCGTCCACGGCGGTCTTCATGGCAAATGACAATCGCGGGCGACGGCGTCGCAAGGAACGATGTTTCGAACGTCGGCGACATTCGCGGGTGCCAAACGCGTTTGTCGGCCGGCCGTCCGACAGACAGGTGGCGGCGCCCGGGAAGCCGCCGCGATCTCGGACGGAACGGTTGCAACAATTACGATCAATGTTTATAAAATATCCGTCGGGACGGCCGTTTTTGTTGTCGGTGGACGCACGCGTATTGGCGGCCCGTCGACCGTGACTCTCCTATATTGTTTTGGATACCGAGCGGAGCGAAGAAGCTCGTGGTTTTATGGTTAAAGATGTTTATTATTATTATTATTATTATTATTATTATTTTTTGTTTTCTCTGTGGGCGACTCCTGGACAACCAGACAACTCGCTCCGATTTAAAAGCGTAGTGCTTTTTCTGCAAAGAAATCGGCGCTGGGAGACACTCCGAGGGGGCCATTTTTCGATTTTCCGCGGAGTTTTCCCGACAGACGGGAAAAACGCGGGAAAATCGGTACGATACTAAACAAATATTATTAGGGAAAATGTTTAATGTATGCGTAATTATCTTACCGCAATACGACGTGTAGATTGTTGGCAAAGCAACAGTGTCAACTGAACTCGGCTCAGAACCGTTTTTCCGTTAGCAACGATTTAATTGTCGCGGATTCACAAATAGGTCACTGTCGCAGGGTTCACAAACAGCCCGGCCGGGTTTTGACGGACGGTTTTTTTTTTTTTTTTAGCGACCGACGGCGGCTACTCGCGTGTCCGGAAAGTGGCGAGGTGAATATTTTTATAATTACAAGGGATAGAGATGTCAGTGTACACCGCAAACAGTCGAATATACGCACATACATATCGGACGTAAAAAACGAGATGGCGCTGTTATTAGTAATTATTATCTATCGATTTTATTCGTTTCGGGTTATCGGTAATTATTTTGAAAATTCAAACATGTTGCCTAACCTAACCGATCAATACAATGTTTTGAATAGAATTCATTTTAAGATGTTGAAATGTGCCGTTTATAGTAAACTACCAAGTATACGATTTGATCGTAACAAGACAATTTCCGATGGACTTCCTTCGCTTAACGAGCCGCCACCGTTAGGAAAACTTCCTCTGGACACAATAAGCACAAACTCGGAGTTTTTTTGTAGGCTGGTCGATGTTGAGGCAAACAATGTTTACAGACTCGCTAAATAAAGCCGGGGGATGGAATTCTGTATACGTTAATATCGATTTTGGTTTTATATATTTTTGTTTTTTTGTTTTTCGCATTGTACTCATCAGAACTGTAAATGTGTTACGGATACATTTTAGCTCGATAACACGATGACGGGAATAAGGTAAAATATACACACACACCCACACATACATACATACATACATACATACATACATTTACACATACGTATGTACATACAGACATGATGTTGAACTAAATACTAAAACTATTGAAACTATTGAACAAACCGTGCATATTTATACGATTATAAGCAAATAATAATTTATTGAGAAAACAATATTACGAGGTTGAAATAAAAATTACACAAAACGGTATACAGCGCACAATTGTGTGTAGAATCATCTATGTTCATTCGGGAAACAATAATGGGAATTCGTTTGGTAGCTTTCGCGGGAACTTTGGCCGTCGGGTTGGCAAGAACGCTCTATAAAAATATGAAACGCGCGATATTAGTAAATGTTCGGTGCGGAGCGAACACCCGGACGTAAAACTAGAATTGTTTTAAAACGACGGCCGCGCTCGAAACAGGATGTGATGTCCTGTGCTGTATTTTAAATCGTTCGAGAAATTATTTGTACACGATTATGTTAATGATTTTCGAATCGGCGTGCGACCCGGGTTTATTGATTGGGCTGTTGATTGTTTCGGTTAAGTACGGAGTTTGAGTTGCGTTGTCATTAGCATTCACATTTCCAGTAGTAGTGATAGCAGCGGTACTGTGTTCATTGTCGATCGGACGTTGTGCACAAGTACAAGTAGTAACCGGCTTTGTGGCAGTACTAGTATTGTTATTACCGGCAATCGGAATTCCGGTAATTGTAACGTTGTTACTACAGTTTATCGGGGTTTCGGTGGTAGTAGTGCCGATAATCGGAATGTCGGTTGTAAAGGTAGTAGTAGTCGTAGTAGTAGTAGTACCAGTTGTTGAAGTGGTAATGGCAATCGGAATTTCTGTAGTGGTAATGGTATTATTGCTGATAATTGGAATTTCAGTTGTAGTAGAAGTAGACGTATTATTAGTGGTCGGGATGTTGGTGGTTGTGGTGATATTATTGACAATCGGAATTTCTGTAGTGGTAGTAGTGATGTCACTGACAATCGGAATCGCAGTAGAAGTAGAAGTAGTTGCAGCAGTAGTTGTATTGGTGGTTGGGATGTCGGTAGTAGTATTATTGCTGACAATCGGAATTTCGGTAGTAGAGGCAGTAGTAGTAGTACAAGTTGTTGTATCGTTAATGGCGATCGGAATTTTTGTAGTGGTAATGGTATTATTGCTGATAATTGGAATTGCAGTAGTCGTGATATTGTTATTAATATTAATCGGAATTTCTGTAGTGGTAATCGTATTATTACTGACGGTCGGAATTTCAGTTGTGGTAGAAGTAGAAGTATTATTAGTGGTTGGGATATTGGTAGTTGTAGTGATATTATTGACAATCGGAATTTCTGTAGTAGTAGTAGTAGTGTTACTGACAATCGGAATTTCAGTAGAAGTAGGAGTAGTTGTATTGGTGGTTGAAATGTCGGTAGTAGTATAATTGCTGACAATCGGAATTTCGGTAGTAGAGGTAGTAGAAGTAATATTACTTGTTGTAGTGTTAATGGCAATCGGAATTTCTGTAGTGGTAATCGTATTATTACTGACGGTTGGAATTTCAGTTGTGATAGAAGTAGAAGTATTATTAGTGGTTGGGATGTTGGTAGTTGTAGTGATATTATTGACAACCGGAATTTCTGTAGTAGTAATAGTAGTGTTACTGACAATCGGAATTGCAGTAGAAGTAGTAGTTGCAGCAGTAGTTGTATTGGTGATTGGGGTGTCGGTAGTAGTAGTATTACTGACAATCGGAATTTCGGTAGTAGAGGCAGTAGGAGTAGTACCAGTTGTTGTAGTGTTAATGGCAATCGGAATTTCAGTTGTGATAGACGTAGAAGAATTAGCGTTCGGTATGTTAGTAGTTGTAGTAATATCACTAACAACCGGAATTTCCGTAGTAGTAATAGTAGTGTTACTGACAATCGGAATTGCAGTAGAAGTAGAAGTAGTTGCAGCAGTAGTTGTATTGGTGATTGGGGTGTCGGTAGTAGTAGTATTACTGACAATCGGAATTTCGGTAGTAGAGGTAGTATTATTATTGTTGTCGTTAATTGGGTTTTGTGTACAGCTGCAAGTACAAGTAATCGGCTTTATAGTAGTACTAGTATTGTTATTGCCGACAGTCGGAATTACAGTAGAAGTAGGAGTAGTTGTATTGGTGGTTGGAATGTCGGTAGTAGTATTATTTCTGACAATTGGAATTTCGGTGGTAGAGGTAGTAGGAGTAATAGTACTTGTTGCGTTAATGGCGATCGGAATTTCTGTAGTGGAAATGGTATTATTGCTGATAATTGGAATTTCAGTTGTGATAGAAGTGGAAGTATTATTAGTGGTTGGGATATTGGTAGTTGTAGTGATATTGACAATCGGAATTTCTGTAGTAGTGGTAGTATTAGCATTACCGACGATCGGGATGCCGGTTGTAGAGGTAGTAGTAGTAGTAGTTGTTGTTGTTGTAGTGTTAATGGCAATCGGAATTTCTGTAGTGGTAATCGTATTATTACTGACGGTTGGAATTTCAGTTGTGATAGAAGTAGAAGTATTATTAGTGGTTGGGATGTTGGTAGTTGTAGTGATATTATTGACAACCGGAATTTCTGTAGTAGTAATAGTAGTGTTACTGACAATCGGAATTGCAGTAGAAGTAGAAGTAGTTGCAGCAGTAGTTGTATTGGTGATTGGGGTGTCGGTAGTAGTAGTATTACTGACAATCGGAATTTCGGTAGTAGAGGTAGTATTATTATTGTTGTCGTTAATTGGGTTTTGTGTACAGCTGCAAGTACAAGTAATCGGCTTTATAGTAGTACTAGTATTGTTATTGCCGACAGTCGGAATTACAGTAGAAGTAGGAGTAGTTTTATTGGTGGTTGGAACGTCGGTAGTAGTATTATTGCTGACAATCGGAATTTCGGTAGTCGTGATATTGTTATTAATATTAATCGGAATTTCTGTAGCGGTAATATTACCGACAATCGGAATTTCAGTAGTGGCTGTAGAAGTAATAGTAGTAGTGTCGTCAATCGGATTTTGTGTACAACAAGAACAGCAAGTAATCGGATTTCGGTCGGCGTTAGTTCGGACGTTCGCGGTTTTCGATCCGTTCGTCGACCCCACAATACGGTTTGCCGAAGCATCGACAAGTAATGCGGGTTCGATTTTCGTCGTTCGTTTCGCTACGTCATTCGTCACGGGTTCGGTCGGAAAGCGGCGGTCGTTCGTTTTACGTATTACGTAACACGAATCGTCCGTACGTCGTCTAATACATTTGTCGTCCGGCCCGTCCGTGTGTCGGTCAACCCCGGGCGTTTGCGTCCGATTGCCGGACAACGCGATTTCGTATCTGTTGTACTTACCGCCGTGACTGTCGTCCGGGACGTGCGCCGCGGACGCGATGTCGTTGAAAATCGACAGTTCCACGTTCTCGCGTCCGCCAATGTCGACCGTGATTCTGTGCGGGTCGCACTCGTACATCTCCCGCGGCTCTTCCTTGCCGTCCGGGACGTACGGTATGCGCCGCCTGTCCGGGAACACGTAACTGATTTGCCCGGGCGATTTCAGCGCGTCGATTACGTCCCGCACGGTCTGCGCGGCTACCGTTCGGCCATCGTGCCAGCGTAAGCGGCCGGCCGCGCCGCCGAGGCCGGCGCGGCCGCAGTCGTCCGGCGACCGTTGAAAGTGTTCGGTCTCCACGGCGCGGTACAGCGGAAACGGCACGATGACGGACGCGGGCGTGACGACGAACGCCGACGGCATCAGCTCAGGCAGTCCGTACGCCAACAGCGAGCGCAGCGCCGAATATTTCCCGCTGAAAACGCCCGGCACGGTCAACGTTTCCGAGCCGCGCGCTATGCTGGCCAGCACGTTCCGGTAGTCGTCCGTTTTCACGCGCGTGCCGTCCGACAACGTCACGTGGTCGACGGCGGCGTCCGCGTCCGCTGTCCGCTCGTCTTCCGCGGCGTCGTTACAACCGTAATACCGTAGCGTTTCCCGGAACTGCTGGTACGTCATGTTTTGGTTGTCCAGAATGATCCGGACGTCGGCCTTTTGGTCGTCCGGCAGATAGCCGCTAATGGTTTTGAACTTCAAATACGGCATCACGACGCCGCTGGGCAGTTGCGCGAACGTTTTAGTCAACAGGCAAATGTCTTTGCCGCAACTGTTGTCGGCCGACGGCGGCGGCGGAGGCGCGGACGCACACGCCCCCGGCGTTTCTCGGCCGTTGTAGTTCACCGTCACCCGTCCGTTCGACGTCAAAATGATCGGGCTGGAATGCATGGAACCGCACGGGATTCCCGCGGGCCACGGACGCGCGGCTCCGGGTTCCATTTTGTAATTGATCGTTACCGGCGCTTTGCTCGACAATATTATCGGCGAACGATCGCCCTCCTGGAAGTCTCCGGTCCATCCGTTCGGGTGACGTCCGTCGACGTCGACTACTTGCTGTTCCTGGGCCTGATGACACGAGGCGCCGCCGCCATTTGGACGATAATACGTTTGTCGACTAGTCATATTATTGTTATCGTCGTCTTTTTCCAGAACACGCGTTCCGCATTTTACCTGAAACGTGTGAATCGTTATCGGAGTGCGAGACGTGAACACAATGGGGGCAGGGGGCTTTGGGGGTTGAAAACTCCGTCCCCCTTAGCGTGTACATACCCGAAAATAGCACTCATACTAAAGTTTTATATAAAAACTTATTAAAAATGTGAAAAATGATTTTTTTTTTTTTTTTTATATATGTATTCCAAACTGGGTACGTGTTCCTGATTATTAATGGACAGATAATGAATTCTGGGTTCTCGATGTTTAAGTTCATGCACTGAAAAAGCCTGTTAAATATGACGAGACTATATGATCTGAAAAAAATGCTGAAATGTCCGCTTAGAAAGCGCAGTAAAAACTCGTTGATTATGCAACAAACACGCGGGATAAACGGTATTGTTTTCAAGGCTGGGCAAGTTAATGATATTTTTGCAACTCAGTTAAGTCAAGTTAGTATGCGTTAACGCGAAAAAGTTAATAGTCAGTTTAATTTTCGATTTTAACTTTATCATCTGCCAACTTAAAAGTTAAAACCATATACTGTTCAGTGCTTAAAAGTACAGTACTTCAACGTGCATTACTTTTATAATTTAGTGACGAAGGTTTTCGTGACTTGAACAAAATAACAATGGTTGTACATATCCAATAAGCAATGAATTATAACAGATTAATACTTGAAAGTCATTAAAAGTTATAAGTTGTTTTATTTATTCAAACCTTGTACACGCTATACTGATACTATTGGGGTGCTCGCCGTGTGTGGTGTGTGTGACAGATGACAGTGAATCTGTTATGATTATATTACTGTAATATCACATCAGCCGAAATATTTTTTAACATGAAAACGGAATCGACTGATAGAAAATCAAAAAAAAAAAGCAAACAGTAAAACGCAATAAATTTCGCTCGTTTCGCCGCTAAAAGCAAAAGGCCGTTTTAAAAACTCGACGTATGAAATAATCAGTACGGGTGAAAAGGGATGACGATGGTGATATTAATGAAACCGGTGCCGGGACAAAATCACAAATCGTAGATATTTGTATTGCACGTCCAAGAACGGCGATAAACAGTCACTAAGAACGAATTGTGAAACTCGTTAAAGTCAAGGATTTAATTTACGAAAATCGAAATCGCCGTTTATTTTCGCAAATCACGTTTGCCCCTCCCCCCCCCCCTCGTCACCCCGGGGGGAAAAAGTCCGCGGACGCGAACTCCGGTAATAATGTCGGAAAAAAACCAACAACAACAGTTTATGGACTTACCCGAGCGAACAGGCACGCGCAGGCGATCTGCAGTATTAAAAGCCGACGTGCCGCCGTCGCGTCCGGCCCGAGCAACTTGTCGAAGCGCACCATGGTAAGCAGTGTCTGCAGCGCGAGCGGTCGGACGCGGGTCCGTCGGGTTTTCCGGACGGTATTGTTAACGGGACCGCTGTTTTCACGCGTTATATACGCGTGCGTCCCGCGGCGGGCTGTCGGACAACGCGCGCGCGGGAAGCGGAAACGGCGTTGTGATTTTTTTAATTTTTTTTTTTTTTTTTTTTTCTTCGTTGTCGCCAGCGTGTTTACGCGATAACGGCGATAACGTCCCCCGGGATATCGGTGATCGACCGCGAACGGAACGTGTCACAAAACGAATTCCTCGAGCGATTGGCCGCGCGAAAAACGCGGTGTTGTTGTAACGAAACGTTTCGGAAACGGCCGAAACCGATCCGAACGTACAACGTCGGATAAAGTTATTGTTGTAACGCCGTCGATGGGTTGTTTTTTTTTTTTTCATTTTTCACAAAACGGCACACTACCGTTCGAATGGTCGAAAAAACCTCATGCGTACTTATCATTCACAATATTGACCGTTATCGCCGCCATCGTATCGTAACAATATATACGCACAATCGTCGTCAACAGTGCGCGCGTTATTTTCCGTCCGTTTTTTTTTTTTATCTTTTTTTGTTTGAAAAAAAAAAAACGCCCGTCTTTAAATGTATAGATTGATCGCTAATCCCGATCGCGATTCGTGTCATATTGCGACAATAAATATTGTGAATGTACACAATAATAACGCGATTAGTTTTTTAGATTCGGAGTGAAGGATCCGGTTGGTTTTGCGCTGCGGTGTCTAAATTTTTTAATTTTTTTTCTGTTCCGTCCGCAAACAACTCTTTTTTTTTTTTCGAAACCTCGCTCCGGTACGTCAAGTGTGGCGCCTTTTGTGCGAAACGGTGCACGTTATTAGTTCGAAACACAGAACACTGTACGGGGTTTTTTTTTTTTTTTCTTTCACACACCGACAGTGTTCCGGGCCTATAATGCAATAATCTAAAATACAACGCAGACGTTTTTCATTCCTCCCGAGCGAAATTACGAACCGGCACATTACCGTTTCTCGATTATTGTTCCTAATATGTTCTTCTTACCGGTTTATTACCTATTTATCGATTGTAGTTCAATATTGTTATACCGATGACTTTTAATCACAATCAGATCGCTCGTAATCGTTGTAACATTATCATATGTTTCTCATGCATCTCATCGTACGTATCATATCGATCGACCGCACTCGTACTCATGGCCCTGGGGGCGCGTATTCGATCAATAAATAATTTGTATTCGGTGGTTAGAAAGAAAAAAAAACCGCACACTGCGATGTAGTGATTTATTTTTTTTTATACAATATGTTTTAAGATACAATTCGGAAGAAAATCGTAAATATTACGGCCTTACAAACCATATACACGGTTGTGTACACCGAAGTCGGTGTCACCGCAGTATTCTCCTTAAATATTGCGAAAAATCTCATTGTTCGAAAATATCGGCTTTAACTACGCATTCGAAAATCAGAATTTGGATGCATGCGTATAAATGAACTTTGCTCGGGATCGTTTTTCGTTACCGATGGTTTATCCGTCGCTGGTATAAATACAATAAAATAACTTTACGCCCTATTCCCGACTTCTCGCATACAACGGTGGCGCATCCATCGGCAGTGTCAGCCCTGGTCGGTGTCTGTTTAAGCCGGAATGCATCGTAAAACTGTGTTAAAAATTATTACAACGGACACGAGTAACTGCGTTGAGTCACAAAAATTATATTAGATTTTGATTTTCAATAAATTTGACAAAATTACCATCGTACAGGCACTACAGACCTGTATAAACTGATATTGAAAAAAATTATACATCATAGGCACCGATTTTGAAATATATATCGTTACGAATCGATAGGACAATAGAACTAATGTATGCGTAATTTTAAATACAAATTATTATTATTATTATTATTTTTTTTTTTTTTAAAAACCGACAATGTTTAACGAATCGTCACAATACAAACGCGCGGGCGGTGATTGTTCGCGTTCGGTTGAATCGAAAAACAAAATTACCATTGTTTTTTCGCCGGATCGCAGTCGATCGTCGACGGTCGAACATTGTCCTTTTCCGGCGCGAATGTTCTTCCGCGATCGTGCTCCTCTTGAACCGCCGGGGATCGAGAGTTCGCGACCAGTTTGATGTTGAATTTAATGTGGTTTTCCACCAACAGCGTCAAGTCGTCGTCGTCGGCGCAGCCGTCGCAGATTTCCCGCGGTTTTTCGTTGTCGCAGTCTTGGCGGCGCGGTCCTTTCCCGCCGCAATCCGGGTGGCCGCCCGTTCGTCCGTCGCATTCACTCGGTTCCGCGCGATTGACCAGCGACAACATCGGGACACTTCCGGTACCGTAGCCGACGGTCTTGTGGTCGGTCGGACCGGAGCGGTCCCGTTCGGGTCCGCGGACCGGGCTCAATGTCGTCGTGGTGACGTCCGCGGTGGAATTCGCGTCGGCCCGGCCGCGCGCCGCGGTCTCGGCGGCCGGTCCCGGGGGCTGTCCGGCGGGCGCAATGTTTTTCCGTTCGGAATCCCCGTCCGACCCGGTGAAATCTCGTGCGACGATAACGCGACGGGGCGTTGCGGTTCCCGGTCTTTCGGACGTGACTGCGTCGGCGACGACGCGCGCGTAGTCGTTTCTGACGTCCGCGGCCGACGACGGGTTCTCACGATTTTCTACTTTCGAGTCCGGCGGCTGCTCTCTTTTGCGATTGCCGCAAGAACTTTGGTTGGTCGGGTCCGCGGCCGACCGCTGCAGTACTCCCGGCGGCAGGAGCACGACGGTTTCTCGTCCGTCCACGTAACTCACTTTGAAGTCGTCCCTGTTGCTCGGATTCCTGTACCTGTACACCTTGCCCTGGTCGTCTCTGAGCATCAGCCACCTGTCGCCGTCGTCCGCCGCGCGGCGAGAAACGTTCGCCGAATTTCTGTCCGGTCCGTCCGCGTCACATTTTACCTATAAAAAAAAAAAAAAAAAAAATTTAATTTAAATTTGAGATTCGGAGCGTGTCTTATTGGTTTATCCATCACGTATATTTCTTTTTTCTGTCTGTAAAAATGCAAAAATCCGTTTATTGTGAAACGAGCTTGCGGTGGATTTCGATTCTCTGAAGATACACTACGAGTGTACCAGTTACACGGAAAAATGACTAAAGTCACTGACGTTTTTCCACTAAAAATTCCATATTTAAAAAAATCGTTGAAAATTTCATATCGGACGTCAATTAATATGCGAGGTGATAATTTCTTTCCAGCTACTTCTCGGTTGATTTTAAGTGAACGTGCAGCTTTATTTATTTTTTTCAATCGTTTAATCAATTTCAACCGTTCTGCCTTCGTAAATTATAACCGGCGGATCATGTTATCATGTAATTAATCTGTAATCTTAATCGTATCTAATTAATAATATACAGTCGACGCTGCTTATGAGACTCGCGGATATACGGTTCAGTCGCTTATAAGTCATAATCACCCGGAACGGTCCGGACGTATCCAAATGCATTAAAAAAAAAAAAAATTCGATTATAAAACACGAATTTCGTTAGGAAAACCGTAGAAAATAAACGCTAATAATAAAACGTACACATGTCGGTCGTTACTAATTACTGATTTCTAAGCGTGTCATTTTTACCATCAAATTTTATCGTATTTCAAATTTATAGCAACGACTATACAATTTTCGTACAATGATCACTGATCAGTCGTTATTCGAGTTTCAACACCAGACCGTCCTTTTTTGCTACGCGTTTTGAGTACGAGATTTTTGTTTGTTTTTTCCCTACTTCACATACAAGTGTGAAATTCATTCGGTTATAAGACTCACTTTGAGCCCTCCCTAATGCAAGTCTTATTTACACAAAAGTAACAAATTATTTATCGTTCGGAAGCATTTTTTTGATGCATCATTACGCGGGAAAAGTAAATGACATTCCGTCAGTTTACGAATTATTATTTTCATGAACAATTAATATAAAAATAATATATAATAACATTTCGACTATTTTTCACAATAGTATATGTATATAATTATTGGTAAAATTATCATTCAAAAATAGATATTCAATTTATTACCATTCCATACTCTTCTGGTCTAAACTTTAGAAGATTATGATGTATTTCAAAATGTCTGAAAAAATATTCTGTATTCGAATCTGTGTTCAAAAGAGGGGATTCCTGTTTGAAAAACAAAAGTATGCCAGGGTTATACGGAGTAAACAATTGAATATTTTTAAATGAAGCTTAATCGATTCCACTATGACTAAAAAAAAACAGAAATCAAATTCACTTAAAATCCTCCTAGAAAATTGCTGGTTCATGATAAAAAAAATAACCCTGTATGTGTGTTTTTAAAAATTACAATTAAAGTTTTAATACCTTCAATTTTCAATTATTGCATATTAACCTAGACGAAACCTAAATACCAAAAACGATAGTATAATATAGACTGCAGCTTACTGCACAGTTATTATCATTATAAATATTATTGTAAATAAACAATATAGTAACGTTTATATATTTTAAAAACAAACTATACGTTCTTATCGTATCGTTTATCAATATGTTGTTTTCTTAATGATAAAAAAAAAATTCCGTACACGCAATATTATTTAATTGAATAGAATTACAACAGCCGTTACTATTATAATATTTCATACGTCATAACTGTGTGTTTAATTTACCTGTGCGACAGCGGAAATCGTCAAAAACAAAACGACCGTGTACCGAAACATCGTTGTATTGTATTTGTTTACGTATTTCAAATGCCTATACAGTATTGCGCGATTGTATTTCTGCAACTATGAAGTTACATCAATAAATTGTACGTGAACACTTTGTACTGCGGGTACGTATACAATGATACGAAACGACGGAACTCATAAATCATCGGCCACCAATCTTTATATAAGCGAAAATTGTGTAGGTATTCTGAAATTAAAAAAAAAAAAACATCAAAAAACTCATTACGGCGCGGCGTAAAAAAACACAAGCCAAATGTGTAAAATCCGCACGAAAAGACCGAAACAAAAACGTGACGTTTCGATTATTCGTCACAGTATTATGCTTTTTATATGTACCTGGAATAAGACGGTAATTTAATTTTTAGGATATGTGTTTGTTTATTTTTTTTCTTGTTTACGTTAAAGTGGCTTTGTTTATCATATCGGCGTCAAAATCAATGCGTCCACAATACCCAATAAGGTGAACTTTGTTTGACCTATAGATGATGTTTCGATATTTGTTTTCGTACAAAAACATACAACCTACTCGAATTATTGTTGGATTTTCGAAATAAATCAAATGCGAGTAAAGTGGTATGAAAACCAGAGGAAAGTTTTCATTGGAGAAAAAAAAATTATCATAAACATTATTCAATGGTACTATAATTTATTTTATCTTTTTTAACTTTTCTAGTGTTTTAATTTTGAGTTTTTATTAAATCTATATTGCAAAAGGGAAATGTTTGTCCGTGTACGGTCCGCAGCCGGATCTATCGCACGCAGAGACGCGGAAACGTTTACGTGTGGAAACGAATGAACGGATCCGCGCGCATCTCGAAACCGGATTTCCGGAACTCAACTTCTAAAGCTCACTCCGGAGCTTGCGCGAAGATAACTTTAGAACGGCACAATGCTCGTTTCGAAGCTGTATAGTCGGAAAAAATCCAAGGGCCTATTTAGAATTTTGCTGTAAAACGTTTTGTTTCGAACAAAATTGTATGGATTTTGTTTTTCTTTGCACGATGAATTTATCATACTACTATTTCCAAATCGGTTTATCTTCATCGGGAGCTCTACAATTAGGAACACACATCATTAAAAAACTTATGATGCTTTTTAGCTTTATTTCTTGTAATTACTGAAAAAAATAATGCATAATGATTTTTTAAGAATTGCAAATGTTAAGCGTAGAACCGCACGTTAGCGCAAGCTCCGACTCACACAGCGTTTTTGCGGGTATATTGACAACGAAAATCTGATTGGTTTTGTCGCTTTTTGGGTCATTTTGGTGATGCGGGTGAAAAACAAAGTTATCAGTAGCTGATTTGGTATTCACTGGTTAAGGGGGACAATAACTACTAACCAGGTATCCACCTGGGATATATTCTTTCCCCCTCCCCGTTATCTCAAAAGGTTTGTGTCATTTTTCGGTTTTATATTACTTTATTTCTTTGCAGTCTTTAAAGTCGACAAGTATCAGAAAATCGGCCGTGGAAAAAGTGAAAATCGAGTCTGACAACGGTTCATTTTTACGAAGAAAAGTTTTCCCGTACGGTTTTCGATTATTTACATTTTATATTCCGTCCAAAAAGCCAGAGATCAACGTTTCTTTTCCCTTCAATACTTATGATAATGTATACATTATCAATTTATTTTATCTAATACTCCGTCTATTTGTGGAATTTTTAATATAAGTTCTCGTTCGACAAACTAAATATGGCATCGCTTACAGGGCACTCATCCTTAAACGCTGTTAAAAATCTAAGTATGTAGGAAAACATCGTCTGTAACTACGCTTGAAAATCCCTGAAATCAAAATTTACGTGCGTGTCCATAATTCATCCCCCAAAGATGGGGCGAGCACGTCTAACGAATCATCCTGCATATGAGAATAGAGAGAAAAAATCCGCAAATACAAATAATTGCTAAAAAATCAGCCTCCACGAGGTAATAATTTTACCTGACCGCCATGTTCATCGAACGTTTTGTTGTTTTACGTTAGACAGGTTGGTGTGCTTGCGCCGAGTATAGAAGTCAATGATATTTTCTGGGTACCCCGTATTAGCTGATACCTATTGTATAACGTGTATATTGTGTTATGTCTGTTGCAACTAAATGCAAACCGTACAACAGTGTTAATATTATTATATTTCGCGATGTTATAACGTAGTAAGCATTTGTGAAACTATGCAAATTGAGTTATATAAACGTAATAATACAATATCATATTACCGCGAAATTACTGTGCAACCGTTAAATACGACTTGTCCATTACTTCGGTACAAACCATAAACCGCGGGTCACGTGCTATTGAAAAATTTCGATCGAGATTTCGTCCCCGCCCCAGCAAATTCGTTTATCGATTATTCTCTAATACACCGTATTAATCTTACGTAAGGAAGACGATTTTTTTAACGGTTTTTACGGTTTTTTTTTTCTTCTTTAAACCTAAGCGTTTCGGCATGGCAATACTCAACGCGGCCGTAGTATTCGATTTTTCGCACTATCGATTCGTAGTTCCATTAAAATCCGACTGAACTAACGAAATTTATATTTCTGCAATGTATAATAACGCATAAAGTCCCATCATCAATGTTCACAAAACAATAATTGTATATCCGAAGTGTAAGGATATACTATTAAATAGTCATTATAACCGCTAAATGCAATATTAACAACGAAATTATATTGTTATATTTCTGTATTATATGCGGATGGTATATTGTTTTATTATTATTATGAGCTTTGGACTGCTCATTTCAGATCCTGAGCGAAGCAAGGAATGTATTGATTTAACTATGATGTGGCGTGTGTTTTTTTTTTTTTTTGTATGTGTCTGTAAACCATTATTCTACCACCAAAAATCAAAACCGAGAATTTACCCGTAGACATGTTGCTTTATTAAAGACATGCCTTCCAGGGTAATGCAATGCCTCAACAATCCCCTTTACACGAGACCTATAATAAACATTTCATTTACAATTTTTTTAATATGAAATGTATCAGGAATTCATAACTTTTTGACTTTATATCGTTTATGCGCACATGTATTTTCTGTAGGTAGATTAGATTACAGATTAGTTAATCTGTATTTTATTTTGCTTATGAATTATTATGAAATACATGGACAAAATATTTATTCGACACTATACAAAAGCTTATTGGATATTTTTGGAGGTGCCAAAGACCCGGGACACGGTGGCGCACACCTTGGGAACCACTGCTCTAGGTAGAGTTTGGGGTGGATTCGGTATAAAGAAAAAAACAATTAAGTTCGAGGGTAACCGCCCCCGTCGAGCGCATTGTTGGGGGACGCGGCGGAACCGGGAACACACTGGACTGCGCACTACCCACCATAACTATAATATTGTTTGTTATGTTATAGTTCTAACCGCGCAATATTGCGGTATCGGTTAGGTAGCAGTTCGGTAGCGGGGAAGTATTGCGAGGACGGTTCATCCGCCGCTGCCGGTTACACCCCGGAGAAGAGAGTAAGTACACCACGAAAGTGCACGTTTGCCGCGTTTCGGACTTTACCCGCAACATATTACAATCGTGCGAATAAAATGTTGTCCAAAAACCTTTCGGATTCCTCGGCCGTACACTAAACGGCCGCGGCAATGGCGCATACCCCCGTGATGCATGGTAATTATTTTTTTTTTACAAAACGATTTTTTTTTTTTTTAATCGTACGACGTATTATTACGAGTGAATTGTATTAAAATGTATTGTTGTACGTAAAACATAAACAAACACTAGTGGGTAATACATCGAACGGCATACCTATATATTATAATATACGCGCTTAAAATTATTATTGTTCGTCAGGACGTGACATAGAAAAAAAAAAAATAAAAAAAACACTGGAATTTGAACGCGCACAACAATAATAATAATATACACATCGAAACTCGCGTCGTATTATTATTATTTTTTTTCGGATTACGACTGTGCATTGTTATGCAAATATACGAACGTAATAATATTATTTACTCGTTTAAACACCACAATATTGTTTACAGCCCGATGAAAAACTAATACCTAAATAGTATCAAGGTCCGAAATAGTAACTAAAACAATAAACAATACATCGCAAACTGTGTAAAAAAAAAAAAAAAATCATAATGTATTATGTTGTGTCGCATTATCGTGAAACTAGTGTTATAGGTGAGAAATTGGGCAAGTATATTGGACGTAGAGGGGAATATAATGCATATCTGTGCGCAACACATCTTTATTTGTGTTCTGTGTTTTAATTGTGAAAGTACGTTCAAATTATAATTACGGTATTCAAATTTAACACAATATTGTATTCAGTGGCGCCGAATCTATATATTATGTGTGATAGTCGCCAAATCTAATTTAAGGGGTGGGTGTACCCCCTAGCATCGGTAGTTAACTTTAAAATATTGTACATTTTACAATTAATAGTAATACTATGTAAGATACATAATATTAAAAATAACGGGAACTAGTCTATTCCTAGATTGCCGTAGCGTGTACTGTGTGATTGCATTAGTAAAAAAAAAAAAAAAACACAACTATTTAACCATAACTAACTGTTTAATTAATAGTTTCACTATAAATAACCAATAGTACCTAATAAATAGGTTCCAAAATATTGGTGAAGGTTGGGGGCACCTATGCAATTGTTCATAGATACTTATGCAGTTAATGGCTATAATGTGTACATATTTTAATGTGAAATCATTTATTATTATTATCGGTAATAACTTTTAATGCTGAAAAGTTGGTACAACCATTTATTTATTTATTTTTACTGAAATCATTTTTTTCCAGCGAATTATTACTAAGTAAAAATGTCGATCATATCTTCAACTATAGTATTGCAGCATTGAGTAATTCAATATTAAACGTGAAAATCTGTAATATTTTTTCCCGTTGCACATTATCGTATCTAAGACTTTTCAAAGTAGGCGAACTTTAAACCGAATTTGTGTACGCCAAGGTGCAGTATAATACGGTAGGTGTTATAATAGTTCCACGTACCAGTGTAAAACGTTAATCGGTTCAACAACATGAATGAAAAGAATGATAAAATAGAAAAAAATTATCATATCAGCAGTATTTGCGGTTTATTTAACACGGTTATCGTAACGATTATACAGCAAAACAATGCATATTAATTATTTAATTATTGGTGCCCTAAATAATGTTTTATCAATATTATAACATCAGTCGTACGCCAATAATACCATTACGGAAAATGTCTGCAAAGGCGTCATATAGGTGTTTTTTTTCGGGCGTACGAGCTTTTAGGCAAGGCGACTAAAAAAAATACAATATATATGTATATAGAAGATATGATAATATCCTCTATGTATTGGACGATATGAGGGCGATCAACATAACGTAAGACATTCATTATCTCGGAAAATATTAACGTTTCTCGAAATTGGCTTTTACGAAAATCGTTTATGCGCGGCAGCACGGCATATTAGTAGCGTTTCCCTCTTCTCCCTCCGGCGAAACTTAAAAGCGGGAATATCTCATCAAGTGTTCGATGGAAATCAAAAAACACTTCAACACCAAAATCGATTTAAACCGATATTCCGTAGATTGCTACGGATTGCTGTTTGAAAAACAAAAGTAGGTAGTGTTTTCACCCACTAATATACGAGTGGCAAAATATAAAAGAGTGATTTAACTTTTTAAAACTACTTTTGTCTTAAATGATCTAAAAATCTAATTCCGAAACAAGTTAATACTTTCCATTGTAATAATACAAAACTATTGTTTAAATGCGGAAATCAAGAAAAATTGTCAATACAATATTTTTTAACTACAAATTATTTCTTCTTATTTCGAAACTATTAATAGGCCCCGAAAGCGAAGTTAAAGATGCCAATCTACAAACAGATATGAATCTATTATTATATTATTATATTAATAATCTATTATTATATATAATCTATTATTATATTATTATTATATTATATCAAACAAAAATTAAACGTGAAAATAAAATCTGGTTTTGTAAATGTTCAATAACTGTTAAACTTAGTTTTACGAATCAGTTCTTCGAAAAAAAAAAAGGGGCCCCCGGAGTTTTAGGGCCTGGAACACGGTCTATGCTTAGTTCGGACTAAGCATAGACCCTACCTCGCTAAGCCCAGAATATAAAATATCAGACGTCATTATTGCGTATATATTACCGTTTCTTTTCTCGGTTTTTCTCAACCAATACGTAATATACAAAAAATATGGAAAAATGACTTATCCTCGATGCGCCAACTATAGAAAAAATTTGATAGCAGAAACCATCCTTGAAGTTGGTGACTGGAGCAAAATTTTCGGTAGATTGGTTTTTTTATAAGAACTAAAACAATGAAAACAACACACACCCACGTCACAGTTTTCATATAGTAAAACCATTGCGTTCTTCATCGCTACGCAATTCCAATCTGAAAAGCTAAAATATTTTATTCGCTTACCAACTGCATGTTATTAATAATATTTCGCGCTGACGTTATGACTTAATCCAGAAAACACAAACGCAATGAGCATTGCATGCTTGCTTATAATATTACGATTATTTAAGCAATTTTATCAAACAATGTCAAAGTAAGGTCGTTGTTTTAAATTTTGAGTGTAGTGAGGTGTAACTTACAAAGGTGTTTATTTTTTTATACTACTGTGTACACAAATTATACCATAAATCTTGCTCCGAAGTATCAAGTACAGCACCTTTATACATTAAATTTCCATTTGTATCTTACCTTTTTTTTATATATATATACGTATATATTTTAAAACTAATATTCGTGTTATTTTTAACATAATTAATTAATATTTTAATACATTTAACAATATGAAAACAGTCGTCATACTATAGTAGTGTAAGCACGTAAGGGCTATTAATACGGGCGTGGTGAATCGAAAACTTTCTCACGCAACGGCAGACTTCGCGTGTTAATGAGCCGCGGGGAAACCGTGACCGGGGAGAAAACGGCGAGAGAGACCCCGACCCGGGTGATAGACGGTATAAAAGACGACCGGGGCTCCGACAAAAGGGAGTTCAGTACGTGCGTTTGGAACAATTTGGAACCTGGTTTTCAGAATTAGGAACGTCATACTTTTCTCGCAAACTTACATTTTCTGTTGGGTAAGGTCAACTGCACGCAGACTTCAAACCTTCACCAATATGTTGGTATAGTCGGTTCGAGACGGCGGAGTGCGTCCAACGAGAGTCACCACCGACGCACGAGACGGAGGAGTTCGTCCATCACCTTGACGCCGCCGATCTGTTCGGCCGTTCCACAGTTGTTAACCGGTAACGAGGTACTGAATTTTGAAACCCGAGTGGCTTCTTTATAAGTTATTGGATTGTCGAATATTAAGCGTGTTCTCGCGAATAACCAAATTTAACCCGATTACCGTATTTTAAAAACAACATATCTTGACGATTTCGGTTACTAACTTTTGGATATGCAGGTTATTGATAAAGTAATGATTAGACATCTAGTTAGTACTTTTTTTTATTATCAATTAATGTTATTTGTAATAACTAATAACCAATAAACATGTCATTTTCGCGAATTCATAACCATTAACCAAAATCATATAACCATAACTAATAATGAATACAGCCATGTTAATCGCCAAAAGCCGCCTATTGTTAAAACCTATAGTTTTTGGGCCGTAAATCAATAAAAATCGCATTTTAATGATTTGAAACTTTGTACAACTCCCATTCAAAAGGCTATCTTCATCAAAGGGCGCACGACATATTATATTGTGTATTCAGTTTTTCACCTTTGGGTTTAGCACGTTTTATCGAACAACACCATATCCACAATAATATTAAAATGTTTAACTGACTTTTTCTTCCATTTTCCGACATTATTCAATAATTAAATAAAATATATTTTTACTTAAAAAAGCGTAATAAAATACGCACTTTGAACCTAATAAATATTTTTAAAATATCATAGTCAAGCGTGCAATATCCATTTCATTTGTATTTTCCGGATCAGGTCATAAGGTCAGCGCGAACTATATTATTATAATATAAACATGTAGTTGGTAAGCGAATAAAATTTGTCATTTTTTTATATTGGAATCACGTACCGATGAAGAATACCTTGGTTTTACTATAGTAAAACTATGAAGAATCGATATAAATAATATAGATAACTAATTTTGTTGGGTTTTATAGAATATAAAAAAAACAAAAACAACAAATGGACATACTTCGCAAAAAGGGTGGGCAATTGTTATAGGTGAGAAGTTGGAAAGGTAGAGGAGAAATTTAATATGTATTCAACGATTAACCATCGCTAAAGAGCGGAAGTTGGATAATATATTTTAGAATTTTTCAAAAGTGCAAAAACAGAAATGTAAAATTAAAAACAAATACAAATAAATGCCATAATACAGATGCTAATCATTTTTTAATTCCGTAATGCATACCTAACATTTCGTATTCCACACAATTTTAGTCCCTGGGGAAATTCAATTTTTATCTGTACGCAACGGTTAATTATTACTAACGAAAACGACTCTGAGTGAAGTTTGGTTAAAAATGTTTTGAAAGACCGTTATATTTATGATTTTTGTTAAAATTTGGTACTTAAATCATTATAGAAAAAGTTCTACACAACACTCGAATTTTTTTTTTACTACAAAGTACGACTAACAATGAACCTCTTGTTAAATTTTCAAGTATTTAAACAAAAATAACTCCAGAATGGCTCAAATATTTTGAAAATTTTACCACGTCCAGAAAAAAGGTGAATATAAGTTTTTGTCTAAATTTCAAGTCTTTACGAATATTAAATTCTGTATGGAATGAGGAATGTATTGGTTTTACAATGATATTTTTTTTAACTGTGAATAACTTTTCTACCAGCAATTTCGCTCCGCTATTACAATGATACCACTTTTTCTGAAAGGAAATCTGACTGAGGAAAGAAAAGGAAAAATAGGCAAACTATTAAACAAATATTATTAAAGAAAATATATAATGTATATACCCAGACAGCAATTTGGCAACGTTAAAATTTTGATAATATTTAAACTAGATTAAATTTAAAATGTTATCTAAAAATGTTTTTGATCTTATAAAAGTAATTTTATGTTTAAAATATTCTATAAATATTGTAATTTATTTATTTTCTAATATTTCAATATAATGTTAGATTAATATTTTGTATTTTAATTATATAATAACAGCTAATAAGAAATTGATAAGTTATAAATTTCGATGTACTTCAGACATTCGAATATGGACGATATTAATATTTAAATCAACATAGATTCTGATACCTAGTGTTTTTTAGAACAAAACCCTATGAGCCGTCGGCTGGCGGTCATCATCGTTCAGTCGGTCACAATAATAATGTTCTTGTTATCATCAACGGTTGATAATATAAACTCGCCAATCAGGGAACAGCATTTTATATAATACAAAAAGTGAATAAGGTAAGCATTTGTTATTATTTTACCATAATACTATATATTATACGTTGTTGGCAAAACAACACTATTAACTAAACTCCGCACAGAATCGTTTTTCGATAGCAATGGTTAATCGTTGCGGACAGATTTACTTTAAATTTCCTCTCTACCTTTCCGAATTCTCATCTACAACCCACGTGCGAAGTATATCCGTCTTTTTTTTTAACTGGATCACAACAAAAAAATAAAATTGAAAACAATACATTTCGTAAATTTCCCTGTTTTCCTGGCGTTCTTTCCTGGTTTTTCATAATTATTATGAAAACCGATTGGAATATCAAAAAATGACCAAAAATATAAAAAATAAAATAAAATAAACATTATTGTTAAACTAGTACATTCCTCGCTTCGCTCAGACTCAAAAAGTGATTTTTGTTTGCAGATTAATAGCAGGTAATATAATTATTTCGCCTGTACGAATACCTAACTTCACATCACGTTTATGAAGGAAAACGTATGTATATACATTCGTTATATATCATCGCTCGGATAATATTAATGACCCCGAATAGTCTTTAGACCCTATAAATATATATATATATACACATACAAAGTGATTTTTTCATCATGAATCAGCGATTTTCTCGAAGAATTTTAAGTGAATTTGATGTATGTTTATTTTAATCACTAAGCTTTATTTTAAAAGATCATTTTTAATTTGTTACTTCTAATTCGTACACCTTAAATAAGTATATAATTATACAGTTTAAAGTTCCGACTGGAAGAGTAGGGAAGAGCGATAAATTGCACGTCTTTTTTTATATGATAAATTGATAACTCTTCTGTATTTCTCCGGTCTAAACTTTAATAAGGTTATAAATCATAAACGGTAAATATGATATTAATGTTGCCCATACCAAAATGTCTAAGAAAATGTTCTTTATTTGAATCTGTGTTCAAAAAAGGCGGCTCTTATTTGAAAAACAAAATTATACCCTTATATAAGGAATGTGGAGTAGGGGTAAAAAATTTAAAATGGTCTTAAAATTAGGCTTAATCAATTCCATTATGAAAGAAAAAAAAAAAACAGAATTTAAATTCACTTAAAATCCCTCGAGAAAATTACCGGTTCATGATAAAAAAAAATCACTCGGTACATAATATATAAATGTATAATTATATTTTTTTAACTTTATTATAATACATGATAATAAATTATTTCGTTTCACTACACTAACTCAGATAAGTGATAGCTTTCATTACGTCTTGCATATTATATATTATAAAATTATCGAAAAAAATTAGATCACTATTATTGTAGATATTTTGTTTATTCGACAAAACTTGTATAATATTACAATAATTTCTAAAAATAAATAGCTGATACTATTGATATTAGTGTGCCACTTTTTTAGGAGTTAGAAGGGAGCAGTGGCGTATTTATGGAAGGAATATGGGGAATAGATCTCCCTTGCCTTTTTTATGTATAAACAAGCACACAACAAATCACACATTCTGTAATCTGTTATATGATATACAAATCTACCTGTTTATTTTTAACAGTTCAATATATAATATTATATACCGAAATTAAGTCACATTGATATTTTGTGAGTATCATTACACAATAATAACAAAAAAATCAAAATAGGATTTTCAAAAAAAAAATATTAATTTAAATATATATTATATAAAAATGAATCCCTATTTCCCATGGTCATCGCATCACGTGAGAACGACTTGATTGATTTTGCTGATTTTTTTTTTATTGTATTCGTAATTATCCGACAAAGTTGTTTATGAAAGAAAATATCTAAAAAATCAACCAAAAAGTAGAAAAATCGCAAAAATGTATTAATGATATCTGTGATTTGAAGTCGATTCGTTGCACTAACATTATAAACGTTTTTCTCAGTTGTCTTTATATACTCTATGGGCAGATATATCGTCTAACTGACGTGCTTTATTGTCATTTATTCATCTCTTTAAATATCGTGAGTATGATAAATGTTATTTAACAGCTACAACGGTCAGCATATATCAAAAAAGTTAATTTATTCATTTTTAATACATAGTCCATTCGATCTGAACGTTTATCCAGTTTTAAGTTTTTTGAGAAGTGAGTTAGTTAGCAGTTAGTTCACCACAATTTAAAGTTGAATTATATAATTACGTACGCAAATCGCAGGGATTATTTTTTTTCAGACAAGTTAGAAATTTGGATGGTATTCAAGTTATGGCGTCAGTGCGTCACCGACAAAATTTCGATTCATTTTTATACACAACACATATAAATTAACGGCAAATACGTAAATAAAGGTATAAAAGGAACGCCGTGCCATCTGCAAGTGACAACTATAATACAGTACACGCGCTCACCCACTACCGAGCGTTCTTCATTTCTTTTGAAATCTCCCCCACCCCCCCAAAAAAAAAAGATTTGATGTTTAGATATTTTTATTATAAAATTCATGAAAAAATGTCACAACAGAATACTTGTAGTCCACCGAAGGTAGACTACCCACTTTCCCCACCTATTTGTTTTCATTCAATACTGACCCGATCAATAAGTAATATGGGTAAAACAAATAATACAAATTTGGCACGGGCAATGACGGGCGGGACAGCTAGCTGTTTATAAATATTGTGTGTTGGTTTGTGATTATAGACTAGACTAAACGGGTTAGCTTAGAAAATAATGCTTTTATCTTCTTTAATTTTGATTTATTGCTGTAATGCAGTTAAAAATATTCATAGTGATATGAAATTTTGACAGAAAATTTATATTTGCCTTTTCTAAACGTGGTGCAATTTTTACAACATTTTAACATTTTTCTAAGCGTTTTATAAATATTTTAATTTTGTGAGTTCTTACGTAAATTTTAATGTGGTAAGTACTCGTTGGATATAGTTATTTGATCAAACAGAAATACCTGAAAATTTATTAGGAGGTTAGGTTATACCTAAGTCATTATAAGTTGTACGTATTCGTAAAAAAAAAAAGTTTAATATAAAATAGACATTTTTTTTCTTGTTTAAGAGTTTCAATATCATATTTTGACGAAAATCATAAATATTATGGTCTTTAAAAACATGCAAATAATATATATAATATAACATATTATGAATACATAATAAATATATATATATATATAACTTATAACCGAACTTCGCTCCGAATGGTTTATCGTTGCTAATTAAATAACTTTATGTATCATACATTCAAAACTTCGCATATGAAACAGTGGCACACCCGCCCCTAGAGTATCAGCTCTGTTTTTTATTTTAGTTATAATTTATTTATCATAGTTATCATCTTATAATAACAAACGTCTGTCGAATGATACAATATTTTTAAATTCTTCTATAACCTCGGAAACTTCATCATTAAATTCCTGCAGTACAACATTTTAGCAACACGATTGATTTCAATCGATCTAGTTTCATAGTCACGTTTTCACTCGAGTCAATTTAGAAAACGTTTGCATATTTGAATTTATTTATATATATATATATGTATTCATGTCTACAAATTCAGACTTCGTTAATAACGTAAAATTATAACGATCGGTTAAACTACGCGTAATTATTATTTTATTTACCAATATCGAACATTAATTTTCTAGTTTTAAAAATTGAAATTCCATTTACACGTATTAATATAATTATGTCGTATTATTTAGTTTTTTTTCCATAACTTTAGGGTAGGCATACTCGGTAGGTACATCACCCCGTAGTTTCGCCTACGTCGTTATAATCTCGAGGGTTACTTATTTCTGTATAGTTCTTTTATTTTTATTATAATTTCAATAACATATATTCTAACGAGGTGTTGTCTCGGTGTTGATTATTGCTGATTAAGATTAATTCGAAAAAACCCGATTACTTTTTTTTTTTCCGTGAGACCATTCCCGTACCTACATATCTATAAACGCATCATCGCGCCTGTATTTACTATATACGTTCGTTTTATAGGTCCGTGAGAATATTATAAAAGATAAGTGATGGACCTTATCGATTATTGATATGTTTTCGGTTCATAGTTTATACGCATAAAAACTGACGAAACAGTGTTACCGAGTTTATTACCTCTTCATTAAAGAGCCACGAGTATTGTTTGTCATTTGATACGGAATCACACGCGGAAAAAAATGGCACAAATAAAAAAAAATTACATTAAATTCGTGCTGGTCTTGGTGTGCTTGTCGCAGGTATGTTTTTTTTTTTTAAATATATTTTATTTGTTTTCAATTCGAGCCATAATTACAATTTTCACTCATCATACACACACATACGCAGGTACAAGCAGGCTCGAAGGCTCTTCTGGACAAATCGGACAATCCTTTTGACGAGTTCTTCAAGGAGATTGTCAAGTCGGTGAATAAAATCTCGGAAAAGTTGAAATCACGATTGGCCGAAGTCGATATTCAAACTGACAAATATATCAATCAGCTAGAAGAAAAAATTGATGTTACCGAAGAACATTTACAAGAGACAATCGCAAAGGTGAGTGTTTTTTTCAACAAATATTACACTATACAAGAGTAAAAATTTTAAACTTTTCTGTTGAACAAACTCAATGCAATAATGATCACCGCCACTTTAAAACCGATAACACTGATCGAAAAATATAATATAATATTAAATTTACGAACAATAAAAAAAAAAATTCAATTTTCAAGAATTTTGTTGAAAAAAAAAACGATTTAATGGGTTCACAGATACTGTTCAGGTGATGTCGGTTATAATATTATGTTTGACATATTATTTTCAAATCGACAAAAAGATAATGAGGATGCGTGTCGTTTTTATTTTTTTTTTAGTCGTAGATTTTCTAGGTTTGGAAGCGTTTTGCGTTTTTTATCACGTATAAAATGAAATTAGAATATATTTTTTATAAACCGAAAAATAGCAGTTGTAAAATCTAGATTTTATATTTTTGTTGGTTTTATCTATCGAATATAGGTGAGTGAATCTGTTGAAAAATACTACAAACAGACGACCGAAAATTTCCCAAAAATTTGCGACAAAATTCTCGAAGATATAAAAGCCAAAGACCCGGAAATCGCGGATAAAATCAAGAGAGTGAAAATCGAATTGATCTCATTGAAAGATGACCTGATCAAACTGTTCGAAGAGGTTAAAAAACCGATTGTAGAACGCTTCAACGAAGTGAAAGAAGAAGCCATCGTCAAAACCAAACCCATCGTCAAACGTTGGACGCCGATTGTCAAAGACGTTGAAGTGAGTGTGAACGCACGATCAAGTATAATATTGTTTCGGTAAAAATTATAATAAAATGGTATTCATATTTTCTTTCCGCTACATTTCAGGACATAATTTTGGCTTTGATCCCGGACAAAAAGAAAACGAAGTAGAAAAAGAAAAAAGAAAAGAGAAACGCCTAATCACCGAGGTCATCCGTTACATAATATTTCAATACTAACTCTCAACAAATATATTACAATATCAATGTATTTCCCGTTAAAAAAAAAAAAAAATGAATTTTAACCTCCGATTTTTTTTTTTTTTTTTGTACCTTTTATATTATTATTATAAATTATAAAAATTGATTTACAATAATCAACGGTAGTATAATATTTGTATTATATTTTTACCTTATACCTATCGTGTTTTATTACAGCTCTATATTATTATATGTTATTACGAGTACCTATATCGACTAGACGGTAATAATTGTGTTAATTAGAACATCATCATCACGTAATTCCTGTATACACATGAATAATAATATTGTTAATTAACTTTCTTGAAGTAATAGGACCAATAGGTTATCGTACGATATTGTCGGGCGCACAAATTAATATTATAATAATATAGGTGCGCCTCTGCGATTATTTACTCGACCGAAGCGACGACGACTTTAACACCGTTTGCACAGAGATCGACCAAAGTCCGATGGTTTTTCTAATAGTTTATCGATTCCATTACGCATCTCGACGCGAGTGTAATACGTTTTATCAGCAGACCGTCGAAACGGAATTTTATAATTACCCATTAAAATTAACGATATTATTACGTGGTTTGGCGATGCGTTTTTTTTTTTTTTTTTTAACTTTTTTACGGCAACGGGAAGAGCCACTAATAAAACAATAATAACTGTTATCGGATTATCGACACGAAAACGTAATATCGTTTAATGGTGCCGACGAACCGCGGACAGTCGATATGATAAATCGATTAGAATATTATCGTGTTATGATAATTTCAATCGCGTGATAGGAAACACTATTTTTTTAATTATCGATTCAAACTCGGAAAATAACAACGACCGCGAACGATTGAATAATGAATTATTATAATAATTATAATAATAGTTGTATATGTTGTAATGTATATAATAATTATAATAACTGTAGCGCGATAATATATAAATCCACAAACCATGTAGAACACAACGAGTACAGTATTGTGTGAATTATCCGATGAAAGACAAACTATTAAGGAAACGACGAAAATATTGGGATTTTTATCCGGCGGAAGCCACCTGCACGGCTGTATAATCAGGGGCGTTTTTGATCGGTCAGTGAACAGGTATTACGACACATTTTGGTCACGCGTTCGAAACGTTTTGCGCGATCGGTTCGTTTGGAACGCGAATGTCATTTTTAAACGATACCCGCCGGGGAGGGGGAGGGATGGGCCGCATCGACGGGACGCTGTTTGGAATGCATTTCCGAACGTAGCGGGAATAGGGGTGAAATAAAAGCCGGGTGACGGACGCGAATCCGTTTACGAGATTTCGGATTTTCCCCGTCGCTAATTATTGAAACGATCGGTTTTCGATATCATTATGGGTAATTTCGTTTAAGGATATAATAGGATTTTATCACAGAGTATTATAATATTATGCCTGCGTATAAAACGCCAATAAAACATCATTCAAAAATAAAAACAACCCCGAATTGCGAAATATTCAATTCTCGTCGTGGCAGACTGAAGTATCGTTATTATTTTTTTTTCTTTTCTAATATACAAAATGATTCACTAAATTTGCTTACCCCATTTTTTCTGGTTAAATTTTACATAAATTCATATTCTGACTTTTGGAATTTTCAAGGGTAGTTAAAGCCGATATATTTTCGAATGCTTAAGATTTTTTGCAATATTTAAGGAGTAGCCTGTGGCGATAACAACTTAAAGGGGAATAGGAGGAGAATAGTGGAGCACTAATAAATCGCCGCGTGCCGTGCCATACTCTACTACTCTCCTCCTACCTAAACTTTAAAGCGAAATATCCCGTTAACGGGTTGAAGAAAATCAAAAACTTTGACACCAAAATGTATTCATAGTAATACTCCGTATGTTTATGGAATTTTTAATGTAGGTTTTCATTTAAAAACCAACGTTGGTATCGTCACTCGTTAAATGTTGTGAAAACCCTAAATGTTCGAAAATATTGGCTTTAATTACGCTTTAAAATTACAAAACCCAGAATTTGAGCAAGCTTAATGAATCATCCTGTATTTTAATATTATAAAAATTAATACGGGATCGACGTGGTTGTAATATTATTGTCTAGTTGACGTATTTTAATAGGTATATATCATTAAGCTTTCATTAAATAAACCGTGAAAACAGTTAACAGTAACGACTCAAACGAAATATATATATTTAAAAAAAAAAAACTATTATTATCGACTTGTTTTCGTTTTTTTTTAACATTTCCCGAGATATAGCGTGAAAAACACACATTTAAATATACAAATTCATTAAAATTGATTACTAACATGACGGTGTTCGCGCACCGTTAAACATATTATTTTCAACATTTAATTCACCTGTATACCAAATAACGATATAATAATAAGCACTATGGAACTGTACACACTGAATATCAATCGTAGTTACGATGTACTTACTAGTAAAAAGCATATATTATATAATATATAGGTATATAAATAGTATTTCTCATAGGTATATTTCGAACTTTGTTCGGGTTCGCGGCCTTTGAACTCATTGGAATATGATTATATTCACCCGAAAAGCAGCATAATAATAATATATAGGCAATGCCGATAATTACAATACTATTACGTGTATCGGCTTTATGACGGACTTCGTGCGGTTTTATTGAACAACGAGGTAAGCGAATAGTGTAAATATAATAATTATAAAAAAAATACATCTATACACCGGTCGTTCGAAAAAGAACATTAAGACATTAAGAAGTACGTTCAAAAATGAATCGTTAAATTTTAAACCGTAATAGGTAATAGTACCTATATAGGTATTCGTATAATACGTAGGTACGGGTGTCTACAAATGTCCGTCATGTCTACAATAGGTTTTTATGATTAAGAAGGATTTCAATAGACCAAATAATAACAATAAATTATTGCAGGCATTTTATATTATTATAATACGAATATTTAGATAAATATTTGAAACTCCCAAACCTAATACAAAACATTAGTATCTAAAATGCGAATACGTATTATGTATTATTATAAGATATTCAAAAATATTAAACACTTAATTTTAAGAGAACATACTTCGCCACTGATGAAGGTGAGAAGTTGGGGAAGGCAGAGAGGAAATTTTACGTATATCTGTACGCAACGATTAACCATTGCTAACGAAAAACGATTCTGAGTGGATTTCGGTTAATAGTGTTGCTTCGTCAACAATATCATGTATTTCACATTATAGTAAACTAATTATGCATAGATATTATTTATTTTCTTTAATATTTGTTTAAAATTGTATCTATTTTTCCGTTTTTTCCAATTTTTTTCCCCGCTTATTGGGAAAAACAAAAAATTACCTCCTTAAAGTATCGTTCTAGTCAGATTTCCTTTCAGAAAAAATGCTTGCATTGTAATCCGGAAAAAATTCTTGGTAGAAAAGTTGTTCACAGAAAAAAAAGGCCAAAATATTTTTTTACTAATACCAACATTTTGTACATATTGTCGTTTATTCCCGGTTTTACAATTTATTGAGAAAACTCCTGGAAAATCAAAATGTGGGTACTCCTTAAAGAACCACGTTAGGAAAATTTCCTTTCTAAAAAGGTGCTATACTTGATACTTTGAAGTGATTTTCTTGATTTTCCCTGTAGTTGTTTTAATAATTGAGTAAAACCGAAAAAACACATTGAACGAACCGGAAAATTTACGAAAATAATACTTTTATTATTTTTAATTTTGTTTTTTTTATTGTTGTAATTTAGTTAAAAATATTCGTAGAGGTTTGAAAATTTGACAGAAAACTAATATTTTCCTTTTAAAACTGTAGTAAAATTGTAAAACATTTGAGATATTTTTATTAGCATGGCCCTTTCCCGCCAAAAAACTGATTCCCTGATTTACTCATAGCTCTTTTCCGCCAAAATGTATTTTAGTGAAAAAACGTTTCCACCAAATATAGTTTGGGAACCATGTACCTAACTATGTACAAATAAGTTAGAATAATAAGTCAAATAATAAAATAATTAAATTACAGGATTTAAAAAAACCCATATCTTTATACCAAAATTATTTCAAAATTTCATAATAAAAATAATAAGTCAAATAATAGATTAAATAATAGGATATTTTTAAAAAAATCACAGCTTTAAATTAAAACTAAATATGTATATATATATATATATATAACATAATTTAAAGAATCAGTTTCAACAAAAGTTGAATACAAAAGTATTCAACAATTTCATTGGATTTTTTAGTTTCTGAGTGTAGTGAATAATGTATTGGTTTTACAAAGATGTTTAATTTTTAAAATTTTTTTTTTATACTGTTGACAAAAATTCTACCAGATTTCTTACTATACAGATATATACGCGTGGCACCATTTTTGAAAGGGAATGTTATCCAGATGAAACTTTAAGGAGGTAATTTTTTGATTTTCCAATCGGTTTTCATAATATCTAAGAAAAACCAAGCTAAAACGTAAAAAAATCGGAAAATTTACGAGAATAATTTTTCAATTTGTTACTTAGTGTAATTCAATTAGAAATATTTGTAGAGACTTCAAAATTAAACAGAAAACTTATATTCGCCTTTTCTAGACATAGTAAAATGTTTTGCTATTTTTGAACTATTTATAGATATTTTAATTTTGAGAGTTTTGAATGTAATTTTTAATTCGTAGGTACACTATGGTAAAATTATTAGACTTAACAGAAATGCTTGAAAATTTAATGAGAGTTTAATTAAGAGTCTTACTTTGTGGTAAAAAAAAAAATTGAGTTTGATGTAGTATTCTTTTTTATTAAGGAATTTTAATATACAATTTTGACGAAAATCGTTTGAGTAAAAAATTATCTGGAACAAATCTAATTTTTCAATTTTCTTTTTTTTTAAAACATATGTATATTGTAGATTTATGAGCGGTGGTGAAGTCAGAAATTATTACTTTTTGGAGTTCTGATATTATGTGGATATTATAATACATTATATTAAATAACTAAATATTGTCGTCTCTATAGTATGTTCGTCGTACATACGTAGATTCATCTTGGGGTTTGCGAGTTCAAACCAGTGTTTCAAAAAAACACTGTTTGCACTTATTTTTTCTCTTTACCTAAACAGGGGAAAAACAAATGCGTTTGAGATGTATCTTGAGACCCAGTTATCGCTTGCTCGGAGTATTTTAATCGACAAATACCCCTCATTTTGTTGTGCAAACTTTTCTACCAGAAATATTGCTCCGATGTATCAAGTATATAGCTTATTTTCTGATAGTAAATTTTATCTCATTGGTAACTCAAGGAGTTCATTTTTCCATTTTCCCAAGAGTTTTCCCAGCAAATGAACAAAAAAAACCCGGGGAAAAAAAACATGGGAAGACGGGAAAATCGGTATAATATTGAACAAATATTACGAAAGAAAATATTTAATGCATACTTACTTATTTTACATTAATTTATGACATACATATTATTGACACCCACCGTGAAAACTATAGCCGCTTCTGGGTATACCAAAATATTGTATTATACGACGGTTAACATTTTTTTTTTTTTTTTTTTTTTTTTTTAAGAATGTTACATTCATTGTTATTTATTGATTAATATTTGTTAAGCACCCAGCCGAGGTACCTATCATATTGGTAACGAATTATTTATATACCTAAAATATCTAACGTCCAATTCAACGATTAGTGTATGTATAGGAATACAAAAGTCGATAAATACAATTTTTTTTTTTTATCTCTGTACATGGATAATAACACCGGTTTAATTTTTTCTTATCGATAAACAAAACAATTAAAAGGTCGTTGAAGGGGGAGAAGTGAAACGAAATTAATAATCACGACCGTGCAATATTTGAATATATTCATTCGCCACTAGACTCTATTAGACTCCAGTTCCCTTTTACTTAAGTGCCTAAATTGACTCATTGAAAAAATGTTGGCAAAAACTTTTTTGGTCGTTTTCCTAGCGATAATCGCCGTGTCGATCGCCAAGGTAAGGAAACAATATCCATGATTATAATTTAAAAATATTCCCACAATAATATTATTTGTTTCGATAAATAAATATACTATGTATTTTAATTTGACGCTTTAGGGCGATGAAAATGTTATCAACGTAGCCCTTGACTCCGGATCTCACATACTCAAAGCCATTTTGAAGTCAGTTTCCGATGACGGGGAAAAATACGCTCTTGACTTTAACTCGTTGTACAAGAAGTACGAAATCGATACCAAAGCGGAACAAGCTAAAAGTTTTCTGGAATCACAGGTAACTTCTTAAATATTTTCGGAATATTTAACAGGAGATTCATTATAAGTCGTACTCGATGGTAAAAAAAACAGCGGAATGAAGTCCGCATTTTTTTTTTTTTATTGGAGTTTTAATATCAAAATTCGACGAAAATCGTAAATCGTTTATTGTTGCTTACAGATATAAATTAAATAACTTTATTTATCTTACTTTTTCAACTTCCCATCTACAATAGTGGCACACCGCCATCCTCAGTATCTTCTTTTATTTTCTATGTAGTTTATATTGTCCACGGTACAGCAAAGAGCGGGCGATAAATTGTTATGAATATTTTTATAAATATCATTAATATTTTTGAAGGATGGAAACCGTTTTACTACTTATTACTTACTTTACAATTCTCTCCAAAATCTGTTCGGTTATATTTTTCTGATATCTTTTTAGATTCTGAGAGGAACGAGAAATGGATTGATTTTACAATGTTGTTTATTATTTTTTTTTATATAGAGTGTACACAAATTTCACCAGAATTCTTGATTCGTGTATTAAATACACGTTTTCTGAAAGGTAATTTTATCTAGGTAGTACTTAAAGAAGGTCAGTTTTCGATTTTCCAGCAGTTTTCATAATAATCAGTTAAAACGGGAAAATGTATTATTTTTAATTTTGTTTCTTTATTGTAATTCATTTATAAATATAGGTTTATACGTCTCTATACGTAATGACGTAAAATTTGGACATAAAACATATATTTGTCATTTATAGGCATGGAAAACCTAGTCTTTCAAAACACTTGAGCCATTTTTGAGCTATTGATTGAAATTGTAATTTTGCGTGGTTTTTCACGTCATTTTTATCCGGTAGGTACTCTGTGGTTTTAATTAAGTACCTTGTAAATATATTTTGATATCACGAATGAGTCATAGAATAATTATTATCGTCTACAGGAAAACGTCCAGTGTGACTATTTACAACAATAAAACGATTTAAACAGTTTAATTGATAGTAAACGAAAAAATCACGAGTGAATATTATTATTATTGTTGTTAAACGCATTGTATGTAATAATTACTACCTAATAAAATTACATATAATTAGTTTAATACAATTGTATTATAATCGAGTTCCGAGACAAAAAGTAAAAGCACATACAAAATATTAATTATAATATTAAATGCGTGCTGCTACCAATGAGATACAAAAGATAATCGCAATTATTAGGTTTATTAAAAAAAAAAATGATACTTGATAAAAATTGTACCATATATAATAAGATATCGCACGCATTTTACATAACATTATAAATTATATTGTACACACATTTAATAATTTAAAATATTTAAATACATTTTACCTATATTACACTTATAATGAGCATGCGTTATCAACGAGTATAAGTATAAAAACGTATGGAAAAAAGACGTCCAAGGACAATGGTCACGGGTGCAGCCACTGTTATAAAAAATACCTGTAAGCAACAATAAACCATTGCTTACGAAAAAACGATTCTGAACGGAGTTTAGTTGATAGTGATGCTTTGTCAACAATGTATGTCATTTTATAGTAAAATAATTAAATAGATTTTATATATTTTTTTTAATAATATTTGCGAAATTGCAGGTAGAAAAGTTATGCACAAAAAAAAGAAGACCGTAATATATTTTAACAAATACCTACATTTCTTATATTTTCCTATTTTTTTTTTCAGTTTTTCTAATTTTATGAGAAAGCTCTTGATTTTGTTATATGTGGTGCTATCATTTTAATGATAACGAGTTTAACAAAAAGGGCTGTATATAAAAGAGCTGACAATATAAGGATACCTTATCACTCTTTAAATTTTTTAAAAAAAAAAAACATAAAACAACAATAATACACTAAAATTGTATTTAACAAAAAAAAAGCTGATATTGGGCACGGTTGTGCTACTATTGTTGATGGAAAATTGGGAATATCGGATACATTAGGTTATTAAATTGATATCTGTGCGCTACGATAAATCACTGCGCAACAATATATAATTCTGATCGAAGGACATCGTTGGACATGTCTTTAAATTTAAAAACGTGTTTTTTTTATATTTACAATTTTCGTCAAAAAAAAAATACTACATCATGCTCAAATTTTATTTTTTTACAACCAAATGAAACTTATAGTGAACTGCGTATTAAATTTTCTAACATTTCTGTTCGGTCAAACAATTTAATCAACGTAAAACCAAATAAAACTAGAAAAACTCAAAAACATCAACTAAATAAAAACCTAAAAAGCGTTGGACGTTTTGAAAATTGTACAACGTTTAGAAAAGACAATTATAGATATTTTGTGAAACTTGCAGGTCTTTCAAACCGAGTTACAATAAAAACTTATTCAATAATTGAAACTAATAATCCCATACATTTTCCAGTATTTTTTACGTTTTAGACTTGAAAAGAAACATGGAATTTATTGGTTTTACAATGCGAAAATTCTACCAGAAATTTACTTCGATGTACCAAGTGTACTATCTTTTCTAAAGAAAATTGTATATAGTTGGTACTTTAAGATGGCCATTTTCTGATTTTTTAACTAGTTTTCATGAAAATTGGGAAAAACTAAGTAAAATCGTAGGAAAAACGGGAAAATTTACGAAAATAATTCTTTGACAATTTTAAATTTTGTTCTTTGGTTGTAATTCAATTCAAAATGTTCGTAGAGACTTGAAATTTGAATAGACAAATTATTTTTGTCTTTTTTGGACGTGGTAAAATTTTAAACCTATTTGAGATATTTTTAAACCTTTTAATTATTTTTTATAAGAATTTTAATTTCAAATTTTAATGAAAATCGTAAATATTATGGCCTTTTAAAACACATTCAACTGAATTCCGTTTAAAGTCGTTTTTTGTTAGCAATAATTAATCGGTATACTCAGATATAAAATAAAATATTATTATATTATAAAATAAATTATATAATATGTATTCTACCTTCCCTACTTCTAACCAACAAAAATAACCCACACATCGTGCGAGGTATGTCTGTATTTTTATTCATGATTTCCCCAATTATTAAAAATCCACATAGAAAATTAAAAAACTAGCTCTGCAATGAACCAACACGATTTAAAATGCAACAAAAAATAACTCTAGGCATTTTTTGATTGGTGCAAGATTTCTGGCAGAAGGGTTTTTTACTGCAGACAGAAAAATTTCAAAAAATAGTGCCTTTCTTAAGTAGGAAACCCAATACATTCCTCACTCCGTTCAGAACCTTATATTACAAAAAAAATGTTCTCATGGCTATTTGTTTTAATCAATGATATTTTTCTCGCTTATAAATTATAGACCTAAATATGCATGGCTAAAATGTTTGAAAAATCAACTCCCAAATCCCCAATAACCCGCTGTTGTGATTATTCTGTCAATAATGCTTGCGCACGTCTATGGAGTTAAATTTTAATCTATGCGATGTTTTAATATACATTATATTAAAATATTTTATAGTACAAAATAGGATCCGGGCTCACCAACGAATACTTCAAGAAAATCAACGTCGAAGGCGAAGAAAATCTAAAGAAGTCTATCGCTGAGGTCAAGAAACACGACACTGTGTTAGCCGATAAACTGTACAAATTCTACGAAAAGTCGTGCGAATCGGACAGACTTGCTGAAGAAATCTTCAAATACGTGTCGGACTCAGATAGAGTTAATGGCGCACTTGAAAAAGTCAAATCCTCCCTGAGTCCATTGGAAGATAAAATTATCGATTTCATCAAGAAGTTCGAGGTAAGAATTAAAGCAATGCCTGAAATTTCCGCGCACTCGCGTTCAACATAAAATTATATGTAATTTTTTTGATGATTACCTTGATGCACATCAATAGTTGTGAATACTTGAAATATATAACGTTATGTTTTCACGTTTCAGGGCATTGTTCTTGAACACACGCCTAAGAAAGGCAAAGGACATAAATGAGAATTCATCAACTTGAACCAACGATGATGCGCATAAAACGCAACACTGTACAGCATTGAGCTGTATGTTTAAACTTTTATACAAATTAAACAAATTCCATACGACTATTATATAATACTATGTATACCTACTTGAAATAAACATTTTTAATTCAATATAATATTTTATCGATTAATAAAGAAAAACACACAATCCAAACGTAACAAAATATCTGTCTAGTTGTTAATATCGTACCTATCTCGGTTCTCTATTATCTCTATTAAGTCAACCATGAAAAGCATTAATAATGCAAACAAAATAAATTGATTGTTGTAATAAAATTACGTAAAAAATTGTGTTCAAAAAATACTAAAAAAGAAAATATGCAATATACATAATAATCCATAGCAGTTTAGTAAACCGAAAACGAAAGTAATATTTGAATAATAACACGAGAAAAAATACGGTATATCGATCATGTTAATTTTCCAACCGATTTCAAAATTACGAAGCTAAAACAATAACATTGCAAATTAATAATAATTCCACCACATGAAATACGTCAAATTTGACCTTAGTTTGGACTCTACATACGATTCGTTTCATCGGTCCGACTCACGCGGAATATATTATATTAAATAATTATATTTTGTAAAGAAATGTATTCTTTCAGATATTTTGAACATTTAATTTACTAATAAATGATTAATGGTTAAATTGAAGATTGTATAATTAAATTTAGTTAAACCACGCATAATATTATTATCGTGATAATAATAAAAAATGAAATTCTAAAAAAATATATCATTCGGTCAATAAACGGAAATATTTGTCTTTACAATAAGTATATCAGGATATCTAATCTCATTCAGAGAGTCGCAATCCTATATCGAGTAGGTACCTTTATTAGTTTGAAATACGATAAATCATCGCGAGTACCCAGGTTATAATTATAATAAAATATTTAGGTGAATATTTTTCTTTTATTGTTATTAAAAAACAAAATTAGTACAAAATATATATATATTATATGGATTATGTAAAAATAAGTATAATTAAAAAAAAAAAAAGCTGATACTGGGGACGGCTGCAGCTACTGTTGTAGGTGGAAAGTTAAGAAGGTAGGATACATAAGGTTATTTCATTTATATCTTTAAGCAACGATAAACCATTGCTGACGAAAGACGATTTCGAGCACAGTTCTGTATTGTATAATTTGAAGTGCCGTAATTTTTTTTTGGCGATTTTCGTTTAAATTTGATTAAAAAAAAAAAAGTCTTCCGATGATTTTTGAAATTTTACCACGTCTAAGTAGGTCCAATATAAGTATTATTACCAAGTTTCAAGACTTTACATGTATTTATAACCGAATTACAGTAAAAAAACTCCCAAAAATTAAAATTCCTCAAAAGTTCAAAAGTGGCTCAAAAGTTTTGGCGACGAGACCGCGAAAATTAAATCAAAAAGTCAACAATAAAGATGTCTTGTGATTTTTCGATCAAATCATATTTTCTGATAGAAAACATCGTCCGTGTTTTTATAAAAAAATTAAACCGTGAAATTGTACGTTTTCCTACGTTTTTTTTCCACTTCAGTGCTTTTAATTAAAAAATGGCGTCGAAAATCAAAAAATTACATGTTTAAAACACAATTTAGATAACATGAGCTTTCAGAAAAAGCGTTATACGTAAAAATCGGAGCAAGCATACTAGAAAAAAACGAATCCAATGACTAGAACAATGAAAAAGAAAAAAAGAAAGAAATAAACAGCATAGTAAAACCAATAGTTTCTTCGTTAAATACGTTAGCTAGGTACCGCGAAAAATACGGTTGTGGATTATTCACACTGCATTAAATTATTCTTGGCTTCTTCACACCGTCTAGAGCCTTATTGATAGAGGTCTGCAACATTTTTTTGATTAACATAGTTTGTAAGCAATGTAAGTTTTTAAGTGTTTTAAAACAAGACCGCTCAATGTTCAAAAATTACTTTTGACTAATGACTATTACCGGTTACATTAGGTTCTATGTATGTTATATTAAGTTTAAAATAATTACTGACTTCTTCTTCTGGCTGTTTTTTCGGTATTTTACTTGGAATAATAACTATACAAACCGTTGTACAAAAAAGTAATGGTCGGTCGGGAATAAATTAAAACGCTTTTATGGGGAATATATACCTACACCCCGGGTATCTAAACGAATAATCTTTATTTTTTTTGTCGATCAAGTATATTCCCTTGAATGTTATATTTTGAAATATTACGAGTATATTATTCTCAATAGCATAAAAATAAAAACACTAGTTACAATTGTTTTAGATGTTTTATTGTAGGTGTTTGCATTTATTAACACAATATGGACGAGGTCAATTTGCAAAGTCCGACAGTTACATCTATTTCTCAATCAATTTATTATTTTCAAATAATTTTTCGTTTTAATTGAATTTTATTGCAATAAAATATAATAATATATTGTACAATTGATCGTAGAGCGGGAATTAGTTACGTACTCTATAAAATGTACTCTACTTGTCTTTATTGATCATAATACCAACAGTTCGTAAATGAACCACAATAATAATTCAAAATCAATAATAATCATCATTTCCTCAAAACAAAGTCAACAAGATTGGAAAGTTCGTCTTGTGTTTCGCGGTTGTCTTAGTCCATGGTCGAACTTGCCCCCGGGAGATCGGGAGAATTCCCGGTTGGCACTATGCATTTTGTACCTGTCTATTAAGTCCTCCGCACACGAGACGATTGCCACGGTAAACATGATTCGTCGTGCGTGATTCATGGTGTACTTGCAATTGAGGGGACCACAATGACATTGCCGTGCGATTATTATTGATCGACAGTTACGTATTAAAATAGAGAATCTTATAAGGTAAATCAAATTAAATGGATATGCTATAAAATACCCTTTGTCGACACTCGGTACTCGGCGGTCGGCGCTACGGCCCCCTATCCACCTTCACTGCTGTACCGCGAACTCGGCCGCTTATCACCGACAGGCCAGATGCAGCGCAGGATATTGTGGGTTATTAATGTTATTACCTGTTATTGATAATTTTTAAATTTCATATTTTATTTTGTGTCAATCAGTGTCCGTCCGCCATGAGCCTGTGCACAGTATAACACGTACTGGTATTACCGATCCGCAATATTGTCACAGCGATTTGTGACACCGAGCTGTAATGAAGTCGACGTCTTACACAGTTTTACAAGAGCATTTTATACAAGTATGTATTACCCTGTGTAATGTGTACTTTATCAACTTTTATTGATCGCAAATTAAATTAAAATAAAACGTTACTTAAATTAGATTAAGATTAGTGATTGACACATTTGAAACGTCATGCCAGGCATCGGTTCTAGGTGGCTACTTGGCTCTTCACGAGACATCAAGCATTGTTTAGAAATTTAAAAATGTGTATTTTATGTTGTAGTTTACGGGTACCTATATATTTAGTTTTTTTAATAATTTTAATTTATTAGTCAAAGATACTAGTCTTGGAATAACACTTATGTAAACGTGTTCACTCTAGGTGATATCTACCTACTAAATTACACAGCACAATAATAATTGTAATGTAATAATTGCGTATTTCAATTTTCAATTTTAAGGAAAGCTCTGTCAATTTAATTAAATATTTTTATCTTTTAAATAATCAAATACATAATGGATTTGTATATTAAGTACCAATAATAAAAATACTGCTGTTTTATTGCAATTTACTTTCATTTTTTTTTTTTATTGGTTTCACTACCTACAAATAATTTTTCTTTGTAATAAATTATTATACTTTGGATGGCCATATTATTCATTGATTTTCCGAGCCCTTAAAAAATACTAGTCCAGCTCTGTCTTAGTCACACAGGTTTGTAAATAAATAAGTAATTTATTTATATCTAATCCATTGTGTTACATTTTAAAATTTAAGAAAAATCCCACAAGTTAATTACCAATAAGAAAATGGAAAAAAATCTAAAATAATATTAGTTACGATTTTATTTTATTAATTGATTATATCTAAAAATGTTTTGTTTGAGATACAGTTAGGGCCATAACTCATAACCTATTTGATAAATTTATATCAATCTGAAATTTTTAATAATTTGACGAATTTCAAAATAAATTATAGGGTATGCCCGATTCTGTGTCTAACGGTGATGAATCCAAGAAGATGACCGATCAATATGCACAATCCAGTATGTCTATCGTCAACCATAATTGAACGAATTACTCGAAATACTCATCAGCGTCGCAGACAATCAAAAAACCAACAAAAAGGTCCGCAGATTCGTAACTAAAAGCCAAATAGACGTAAGAATAAAATAACTTTAGTAGTTCGTTTGCATCAATCTTACTTTAACAAGTTATTCACGCCAAGTGTATGCGCTCCTAACAGTAGTTGGGAAATGACAAAGTTGAAAGAAATAGTTGCCACACACGTGGATCCAAAAATTGCTGAAAAAACCAACGAGCTACAATAAGAAATCAAAAGACAAATTACTGAAGTCAAAGCTTTTTTCAAAAAAAAAGTCAGTCAGCCGATCACCGACAAGTAAAAGGAAGATTTGAAGAAACTCACCGATTCGGTTATCAAGACGACCAAAGAAGTCGAAGTAAATTAAAATGAGTTATTTGTCGAAATATTCACCATAGGTCCTCACAAATGTCTAATTAAATGTTTCAGACCACTGAGCCATGGAAGGTGCAAAGAAACAATAATCCTAATAATGTAATAATGCTATACACTATGTACCTACTATTATACTTTACTTACTTCTGAGTGGAGTTCAGTTGATAGTTTTGCTTTTGTCAATAATATATATGTCATTTTATAGAAAAATAATTAAATACGATTTATATATTTTCTTTAATAATATTTGCTTCAGTTGTACCGATTTTCTTGGTTTTTCTACGTTTTTCCATATTTTATCCCGGTTTATCACATTTGTTGGAGAAACTCTTGGAAAAATTGAAAAATGACTTCCTTAAATTACCTCCCTACGACAATTTCCTTTCATAAAGAGTGCTACATGTAAAAATCAGAGCAAGTTCTTTGGCAGAAAAGTTTTTAACGGATAAAAATAAAATAAACATCTTTGTAAAACTGTAAACTTCTTCGCTCGACTCAAAATCTAAAATACCACATTAAACTATTTTTTTTTTTTACCACTATGTTCACCTTATATTGAATTTTCTATTTATTTTCAAAGTATTTCTGTTAAGTCTAACAATTTATCTACAGAGTACCACCTTTCAAATAAAAGAACCAAACTTAAAAACCTCACAAAATGAAAATGTCTATAAATAGTTCGAAAATTGCTCAAATGTTTTGGAAGTTTTGTCACATCTAGAAAAAGTAAATTTAAGTTTTCTGAAAACATTTTAAGTCTCTTTGAATATTTTAAAATAAATTACATCAATTAAACAAAATTTAAAATAATAAAATAATTATTTCCGTACTATTTCCCGTTCTTTCTGTTTCGGTTTTGTTCAATTATTAAAAACACTACAAAAAAAAATAAAAACAAAATTCTTGGTCGATAACTAAATTAAAAATACACTAAATCTTAAGCATTTGATACAAATTTAATTTTCTGTATATTTATTATTGTACTATGGTCTAATTAAACATTGAACATTTTTTTTTAGTTTTAATCGGAATTCATTATTAAACATATTATACGAAACGTGTTTAACAATGATTTTTGAAGATTAAAAATCCACTTCATTTGTAATATTTATAGCAGATTTAACGTTTTAAAACACTACGTAGCTCACTATTCATTTTTTTTTTATTTATCATAGTAACTAAATGGTCGTATGAGAAGGAAAAGTCTAAAGTCTTACGGAAATAATTATTTAACGTTGTATATTTTCAGAATATTTAACTGTTTACAATTTTCATTGGCTGCTGAACATTATTATACCCGAGTTTCATTTCACATGCGTGGTTGTATTAAATTGGCAAAATGATTACGAAAACTTGTTCGGCCTTTTTTCTAGTGACACTAAGTATCAAGACGTAAGAAAACTATACGATTTTAAAAATACACTTGCAATAATATAACAGTTAGGTATTCGTATAACAAAAATAACGAAGATTTTCAACATTCCGAAAGACAAATTCGAACATTTTAATCCAAACAAGAAATACGATTCAAAATTTGAGGATACCTAGCAGCCCAACATTCGCTTACACAAGTAAATATTTTTATTTTTTTCCAAATAATTTTACGAAGTTTAGACTGTTTTTTTTTTTTTGTACAATATATTTATTGTATTTGAATAATTTTTAACAGAAATCTTTCTTCAATCGTAAACATCAGGAATGGTTCCTAGTAGTATAGGGTGGCCATTCGTCCCGGATTTCCTGGGACATTACCGGTTTAGGAACCCATGTCCCGGCGTCCCAGACAAAGTTCTCGGGACACCGATTTGTACCGGGTTTGGGACTTTTGCATAGTAATGTCCCGGAAATTAAAATCATTTTTAAATTGGTATTTCTTTTGCTTACTCGGTTATCGATTTAATTTGAACAAATCCTAATCGTAAATTATTTCGATAACGAACGTCGGAATGTACGACAATCACAGTTATAATCGCTTTCTAAATTTAGCCAACTTACTGCCTATAGACCTATAGTCTATACATTATACATTAGTTAACAGTTATTTGTTGACGATACAAGTTGTACGCTAGTGCAAAATTTATCAACAGCTTGGTACGTATTTATAATTTACAGTGTCGTAATTTTATACAGTTCATTTTTTTACGTAGTGACTATGCCGCCTAAAAGACTTTGTCATTTTAACGAAAAGTTGCAAAATGATTTCCCATTTATTAAAAAACTTAAATCTACTGACGATTTCAATGTACAGTNGTTAACAGTTATTTGCTGACGATACAAGTTGTACGCGAGTGCAAAATTTATCAACAGCTTTGTACGTATTTATAATTTACAGTGTCGTAATTTTATACAGTACATTTTTTTATGCAAAATGATTTCCATTTATTAAAAAACCTTAAATTTACAGACGATTTCAATGTACAGTGTACAACTTGCCATGTAACTTTTTCAGTAAGTCATGGTGGACGATCGGACATAAACGATCACCTCAAAACGCAAAAACATAAGTTAGCTGCAATATTAGAGTATTTTCTTTAATGACAACTACTTGGACTGACGTTCGAAATCAAATGGATACTAAAACAATAGAATGTTGTCTGATAACAAAAACATATGGCTTGAGTTGCATTAAATTTTACAATGANGTTAGCCGCCCGTGAAGCTACTTTTGTGTATCATACAGTAATTCACAATCACAGTTTTCGTTCTATGTCTTGTACATCGGAATTGATTCGTCAATGTTTAAACGACAAAAAATTTACGTGTGCAAAAACTAAAACCAGGGAAATAATTATCAATGTTATTTGCCCGTACATAGTTGATAATACTTTAAAAGAAGTTATATACAAATACCTATGTAATTATATACTTACTAGATAATTACCTATTTTTTATGAATTTTGGTGTCCCGAATTTCTAAAAATTAAATCTGGCCACCCTATAGTAGTATGAATATGGTTTCCTTTATTTCTGTTGCTTTCGATTTCGTTTTATGTTGGAATCAGTTTAAAATAATTGTAGAACTCCGGAAAATCGAAATTTTCAACGAATAATTATGTTAGCCCTTTCTAGCCGTAATAATATTCTATGGTAGATTCGACGTTTTCCAGTTACTTTCATGAGGCCTAAAATTATTAAATTATTTAATACATTTTTGAATGTTATTCATTTTTATGTTCAATAATACTATATTATTATGTTGGCCCATCAAAACTACTCGTAAATTTGACTTAAGTCCACATAAATTCTTTGGTATTTGAATCTACAAGGCTGATCTATTCCCTATTATATTTGATTTTAACATGCTGTACTTACAATGAATATAATAATTATCACACATCAAACCATTAACGAGACATATATCACTTTTAAGTTCGTCTTTCGCTAGATTGTGGAAGAAATTCGAAGCATAATTTTTAGGAGGGGACTGGTGTTTGACGTGAATGATGTCTCACGAAGATATTATAATTATACTCATTATAATATCACCTGAGATAGTAAAAATAATCAAATAATTTTTTTTTTTTTATATTAGTCACTGAGATAAGGACTAAAAATATTTATATTTTAATTAAATTTTTATGTTTGGTAAAAAAATAAATATTTATTTCATTATTTTTCTAGAGTTTATTCATTTGAAAATGCTGACGTTTTAGCTTTTTATATTCATTAAATTCGTGATTTTTATCAATTTTATAAAGTTAGCTAAACTTAATTATGAAGCATGCTGTAATCGCATTCATAAACTGATTATAATTCACTATTATTGGCTAATTGAATGTTATACATACGTTATGTATACAGCTGTTAATCTTTTCTTTCCTCTCACCCTCCGTGGAAACTATAGCTGCTTCTGAGAACATCAGCGCAATTATAATACTATGATAGAGATTTTTTTTTTTTTTTTTTATTTAGTTTTAAAACTATTAAATACCATATTTGTATTTATTGCAAAATAATAGTTCCCTACCCAGTATAGGTACCTATCAGTTGCTATATTTGTAAAGAACTAATTTTATCAAAGATAAGAGAAGTTTATAGATATACGAATACTAAATTCGTTTTTTTTTGTTTTTATCTCTGTACACGTATAAGAACACGAATGTAATCCAGTTTCATAAATAAACAAAACAATTAAAAAGGTCGTTGAAGGGGGGAAAATGAAATAAATGAATAATTACGACCGTGCAATTTTGACTATTTTCATTCGCATCTAGACTTTATTAGATTCGAGTTCTCTTTTACTTAAGTGCCTAAATCAAATCAGTGAAAAATGTTGGCAAAAATTGTTTTGGTCATTTTCCTAGCGACAATCACCGTGTCGTTCGCCAAGGTAAGGAAACAATATCCATGATTATTATTTCAAAATATACCCAAAATAATATTATTTGCTTCGATAAATAAATATAAATATATATTTTAATTTTACGCTTTAGAACGATGACAATGTTGTCAACGTAGCTCTCAACTCAGGATCTCATATAATAAACCACATCTTGAATCAAGATTCCGACGAACAGGAAAAATACATTGTGGACCTTAACTCGTATTACAAGAAGTACGATATCGACTCTAAGTTGGAGAATGTTAAAAGTCATTTTAAAACACAGGTACCTTCTTAAATATTTTCGGAAAATTTAACAAGAAATTCATTACAAGTCGTACTTGGTGGTAAAAAAAAAAAAAACGTGTGAAATATAGTAAATTTGTATTGGAGTTTTAATATCAAAATTCGACGAAAATTGTAAATATTACGGCCTTCAAAAACATGTACAACCGAACTTCACTCCTAATTGTTTTCCTTGAGCAATGGTTTATTGTTGCTCACGTAACTTTATTTATTCTACCTTCCCAATTTCCCAGCTACATTAGTGACATACCAGTACATAGTATCATCTCTAATTTCTATGTAATTTTGTATTGTCCACTGAAAAACAAGAAAGTAGGTGATCAATATTTTTGAATATTTTTGAAAATATCATTTGTACCCATGAGGGATGGAAAGCCTTATACTCCACCCTATAAATATGATTAACTACTCGATAGTTACGATGTAACTGTTGGAACTGACTATGACCAAACGCGTGGTTTAGAGTGACTAAACAAAAATATTATTTTCATAGGTGTTGTTGGTATTTATAAAAATAAATTCGTAATATCATATTATCTAATTGGTTAGATATAAATCTAAGGTAAAATTTAAGTCTATAATTTTAGGTATAATCGAGATTATTATAAAAAAAGAAAATTGAGAAATTCGAAAAATCATTTTCTTTTTGTTAATCTCGGCCTTTCAGACCAACCCTCCAACCAATTTTCCACCATCTTTCTTTACCCTCTGTCACTTCTCTCCATAATCTGTTCGGATCTCCTACTCTGATATATATTTAGATTCTAAGTGGAACAATGAATATATTGATTTTACAATGATGTTTATTTAATTTTTTTGTTATACTGTGTACAAAAATTTTACCAGAAATCTTAATCCATGTTTTACATTTATGTAACACCTTTTCTGAAAGGTAATTTTATCTAGTTGATACTTTAAAAAGATCATATTCTGATTTTCTTAGCAATTTTCATAATAATTAGTTAAAACGGAAATATTTACGAAAATAATGCTTTTATTATTTTTAATTTTGTCCTTTATAGATATGCTAAACCTAACCTTTTAAAACATTTGAGGCATATTAAAGCTATTTAGTGACATTTTAATTATGTTTTACGTCATTTTTATTCGATAGGTATATTCTGTGGATAAAATTGATCTGTTTGTTAGATCAAAGAAAAATGCTTGAAAATTTAACAGGAGGTTCATTGTAAGTTTTACGTATTGGTCAACATGACACACGGTCTTCTAATCCTAATCATACCGGTCTACCTAACGATATTTGTCCAATAGGATCTTTCTATAAAAACCTATAAGTGAGCATTATTTTTCTCAGATTGTACACAGCTCACATATCAGTAATCGTTTCATAACTTTTGTCTTAGTATTTGGCCGTCCAAACAAATCCATCAACTCATCATTGTGTTGTTTTCTCCATTCCCTAAGAAAGTATACATTACCTGCCCTTAGTTTTTTCTTCGGCCTTTCTCAGTCATATCTCAGGTTCATATTATATAATTGGAATATATTCTTGGCTGAACTTCCGTTAAACAATTTATGATTATTGCCATGTTGAAATTAATTTATACTTGAACTCATTAGTATATCCGAGAGATTTTTTAACATACCAGGTGATCCATTTAAGTTGATACACTCATTATTTCAGAAAGTATTAACTTTTTTCGGAATTTGTTTTCTAAAATATTTAAGAAACAATTTGATCTACAATGATATATTCATGTTATTTTTTTTCACCATTATTTTTGGGGGTAAAACCACTACCTACTTTTGATTTTCAAATGGTAACTTACATTAAAAAGTCCGTAAATAGATGAAATATTAGTTAGAATAAAGTTGAGTGTTGAAATTTTTGATTTCCGTCAGTCCATTGACGAGATGTTCTACTTTTAATTTTGGGTGGGAGGAAAGTAGTGGAGTATCATTTGTATGGCGGTACGGCACGCGGCGCGTTAATAATGCACCACTACTTTCCTCCCAATCAAACTTATATGTGGAATATCTCATCAATGGCTTTAGAGAAATCAAAAATGTTAACACTTAAATGTATTTTAACTAATACTCCATTAGTTATGGGCTTTTTAATATAGGTTATCAATTGAAAATCAAAATTAGGTAGCGGTTTTAATCCTAAAAATAATAGTGACAAAAATAACACAAATATAAAATTGTAGAACAGCTTATATAGTAAATGTTCAAGAAAACAAATTCCGAAAAAAATTAATACTTTCCGAGATAATGCTGCACCCACTTAAATGGATCACCCGGTACTCATCCGTAATTTTCAATTTGAATATAAAAAACTAGTAGTGGGTTGTCCGCCAAACATTTGATTGAAAAAAAATACATATGAAGTTTGAGAACTATGTGTACCTACCTACCTATCTAAATATTTCTAAAAGAAAATTCTGATAAAAATGTATAGGTACTTTCTGAGATAACGATGGTCTAACGGAAAACAATTAAAAATTATTATAACTTTAACATGGCCATTTGTTTAAATTTGAATTGATATTCAGACACGAACGAGATGAACTAATGAACTAATGCGATAAACCAAGCCTATAAAACTTTGGCGATAAAACAATTTAAAAAAAAAATTGCATAACAATTTATTTTATCACATAAAATTTTTGATGTGCATGGGATTAAAATACAATTTAATGTTCCGGGTTATTATGTATAACGCAGGTTATCCGGGCACGTAGTTTTATCGTGAAATTCACTAATTACAGAAACGATATTCACATATTTATATAATGTAACGTGCACTTAAATGTTTTAAAATCGTAGTATAAAAAAATATACACGTAAAATATTTCAACCCGAATTCATATTATGTAAATTAATAAACAAAAATCCAAACGGGATACCTATTATTAGGTACGCTAAAATGACGTACTCTTATTATTGTTAACTCTTTTCTTGTCACATCGTTCACATTGAATCACAATATTGCGTATCGTTGCAACGCGTTGTTACGGACCTTTGTTTTGACTTCACTAGGATGATGTTCATTAGGGTACAACATTCTATAATTATTTTAATTGAACATCTTATAAACTTTTTTTGATATCACGAATAAGTCGTATAGTATCGGTGCCGTTCCTTGCTAAATCGGCACCCGGTGCTGGTAAAATGTAACTAAAGAAAGAAAAACTAAATGGCCCAACCCGGCTGTTAACCGTTCACTCGTACGTTTATTATGAAAATATTCAATTATAGAACTTAACAATTTTCAAGTGGCGTCCCTGTAGTCATTGCGTCCGGTGCCTGGGCACTTCAAGCACCCCACTATGCGCGGCCCAGCACAGTATTATGGTCTACAGGAAAACGTTCGGTGTGACTATTTACAACAATAAAACGATTTAAACGGTTTAATTGACAATAAACGAAAAAATCACAAGTGATTTTATTATTGTTGTTAAACGCATTGTATGTAATAATACTACCGGCTATTATGGTAACCGGACGCAGATCATTGCTCGAGTGCAGCATTTAATAAAAAGTTTAATAACCAATCATGCATAGTGGTCTACGCAAATTGGCGGCGGTGCTTCGCAGACAATATTGTATTATAAAAAAATGCCTACGATAATTTTAAAAATAATAAAAACCAAAGATTTCAAATCATTTATTGTACATTTTTCAATGCGTCGTCCTAGCTCTTTATTAATTTTTAAATCACCACGATAATGAGAAAAAAAAATGTTTAATTAGTTTTTTACCGGTTTTCAGTCGAAAACTCAAATATTAATTGTGTCCGCAGAATCCGTAGGTCGTCCGTATCCGTACAACACGCGCTTATATAACTCCGACAATTTTCTGACGATTATTATGGAATTTTATTGAAAGGCGTCTTATACCTATATAAACCACGACGTACAAACACATGGGTAATTATTTTTGAACGCAGTGCACATTATCTACACGTAGAACTGATGGGTGAAAATTGAATTTTTCATGCCCCTTTCATGAGGCGTATAATCTTTAAAAATATAATAATAACGGTTAACGTGTGGCATATACTCGTATAGAGATAAATATTTCCCCCGAAAATCAATTACCTACATTAATAATATAATCCTTGCTATATATTTAGTAAACATCCCACTGTGCAAAAATGTGTAATATTTATGTTTTATAAATATTGCAAGCATGGGAGCCCGCAGGGAATTTATCAGGGAGTCGCGGTGTCCTAGTTTCGAATGTCCTTTTATTTTTCACGTGTAACCCTAAACAACACCAATAGACAACAAGGGAATAATGACATCAAACACCGAAAAGTTATACAAATTATCTAATTATTAAAATTATATTTTTAAGTCCGGAGGAGCAGATGCCCTTTCCTGTCCCATCCTCCGAGTGCCCGTGATTTAAATTTTACTTAAACCGCTAAACATTATTGTATTCATTTGACATTATATTCCACGAAAATTAGCTAACTATAATAATATTTTTTTTTTTTTTATAAAAATATAACAAAATAGTAAGCATCAGTTTCATGTTGAAATTATATCAAATATATGTTTCATCTGAACAGACAAAAAAAAAAACACTGAAATTCAGCCCAGGTGGAGTGTTTTTCATCACCTGGGACCGAACCAAGCTCCCTACCTGTCGTAATCTAACACCTTATAGATAATTGATATGTGCGTGTGACACGTACTTGTAAGATGATTTTTTTTGCACATCATCCATACTTCGACATCTATCACGGTATTATTTGAATATCTAAATTGACCACAGTCAATTTAGACATCCAAATACGAGATCGTAAATTTATCGAAAATGATTTAAATAACGTAATTTAGTAATTTAACAATTTCACCGAAAATTACAGATGTTTTGGCTTAGTAAAATTGTTATTGGTATTGTACTATAACCGGATTTCGAGATAAAAAGTACGAGCAATCACAAGTATTTAATAATTGAACTTATTATTTGTATAAAAAATATGAGATTAATCTGTTTGTGAAATGAGATCAAATATTCAAGGCTGTTAAATTTTAATAATAATATTAAATGTTTGCAGCTACCAATGAGTAATAAGATAATATAATCGTAATCGGTAACAAATTTAAAAAAAAAAAAACAAACAATAGGTATTTGGTAAAATCTGTGGTTTGGGTCATTTTTTAGATTTTTATTTTTGGACCCACTGGCCATTTTAGACCCAAGCATATTATTCTTATTATTTACATATTATAAAATATATTGTACCTAGATTTAATAATTTAAAATACTTAAATACATTGTACCTATATATTTACATAATAGGCATGCGTAATCGAAGAGTTCAAATATTATATTTTTTTTGATATTAAATTGTTAGTATAACAACTTATTGAAAATATTATACCATAAGTCCATAAATAATCCAAACGGTTAACTAAACGTGAAATTATCAATGCAAACTCGAATTTTCTATAACAAAGCAGGTATTAAAATACAACGATAATTTTAATTGTCATTATTAAAATATTGTTTAGGTATAATATTATACAATATGTTTTTCTTATTAAGTAGGTACCTACATAGGAATTAGCTTTTGCTTAAATCTAAACTAATTATCTTTATTCTAAATTCCTATATGATAATAAATCGTTGTTTATATTGTAACCGATGTTTTTGTCTCAGTTGATGTAGTTTTAATAGAAACATAAAAAAGAAAAACAATATTAAATTTATTAGATTTGGCTAAATTAAATGTGTGCTGGTAATGATTAATATTGCGTTCGCAATCATAACATATATTTTAAAATGAAAAAAATAAAGATTTTGTTATGTGTTACTGGCTAACGACGTCATGTCGATAGTTCGTTTCAAGGTTTTGATATAAGTGGTGCTATATGGTGATATAAGTGTCATTTTCGTATTTTACCAGTTAAACAAAAAAAAAAGCTGATACATTATAAAGATATCTTATCATTTCTGAAATTTATTTGAAAAAAAAAAATTAGACACATTTATAAATATACGGAAAAAAATGGCTAAAACTAGGCATTGTTGTGCAGACACTGTTGTGTAGACGGGGAATTGTTAATGTCGGATACATAAAGTTATTAAGTTGATACGTATGCGCTAATCTATAAAATTGTTTAATATATATTTTATAGTTCAAAAAAGGACTCCAACATAATAGCGATTTATTCAATAGAGTCAACATCGAAACCGAGAAGAGCCTAAAGAGGTCTATAGACGTGATCAAGAAACAAGATGCCTTGTTGGGAGAGAAATTGAATAAATTCTACGAATTGACTTGCCAAACCAACAGAGTTTCCGAAGAAATCGCTAATTACGTGTCGAATCCGGAAAGAATTCACGGAGAAATTGAAAAACTCAATGTCCTTCTGAGGCCGTATGAACAAAAAGTTATCGACTTCATTAAGTCGGCCGAGGTAAGAATAATAGCAATCCCTACACTGCAGACTAAAATTTTCGTGCACTTATAACATTATATGTTATTTTTTTTTTTTTGATTATATCTTGATGCACGTCAATTATTGTGAATACTTGAAATGTTTAATGTCATATTTTTTTTCGCGTTTCAGGGCAGTATTCTCAAAAAATTGTCCTAGGGAGGCAAGGGACACACATAATAAATGTTCATCTTGTACCAACGACGATACGCATAAAACGCAATAATTGTACAGCATTGAGCTGTATGTTTAAACTTTTATACAAATTAAAAAAATCCCGTACAGACTATTATATAATACTATATATACCTACTTAAAATAAACATTTTTAATTCAATATAATATTTTATCGGTTAATAAAAAAAAAAACACACAATTTAAACGTAACAAAATATCTGTCGTGTTTTTGATACCGTACCTATCTCGGTTCTCTATTATCTCTATTAAGTTAACCGTGAAAAGTTTTGATAAGACCAGAGATTATACACTCTGTTATAATATATTGACCGATTAAGACAATCGTGAAAATCGTTGTCGATGCAAACGGAAAAAATTGATCGGTGCAGTAATATGGAAAACTCTCAAATAGTGTTACAAACTTACTAAAAAATAAAATGCGCAATATTAACAATAATATTGAAAATTATAATAATTCGGAAAAATTCAGTAAACCGGAATAAAAATAATATTTGAATAACACCTGCAACGTGGGTAAAAATAATACGGTATGTTCGAAGATGTTAATTTTCCAATTGTATAGTCAACAAAATAACATTACAAATGAATAATAATTCTATCGCTGGCACTATGTCGAATTTGACCTTAGTTTGGCCTCTCTACACACGATTCGGTTCATCTGTCCGTCTCACACATTTTAACGAGAAATACATTCCTCACATCAAGTACAGTAGCTATTTTTTTAGACTTTTCGTAGTGCACATACATGTATTCGAATTTGGTGTATATACATGATGTAGACGGAAATTCAAAATTTCAATACCAAAATACGTTTCAACTAAAACGTCATATATTGATATGAATTTTTAATAAAAGGCGCTATTCAAAAATTAAAAATAATATTTTCACCCATGAAAGAAGAATAACAATAAATAACGGTAGGTAATGTAACATTTTAGAGTTATTTGTTTGATAAGTAGTTCAAAAAAAAAAAAAAAATGTCCATCAAGTACTTAAATACTTTCCGAGATAATGAGTGTCTTATCGAAGATCGATTATGCTCTAAATATTTAAAAAATTTTTACATTTTTTCTTACATCTGTGAAACCTCGTGGATAGTCTATAATAAATAAAGAGCTGGCAGGTGCACATTTTAATTTTTTGTAATGCGCATTTGGGATTTTGCAGTACACTAAGTGTATCATAGTGGACACGAAAATAGCCACAGATATTAGTGATTGCAAATCTCTAGTTGAGTTTAGGGCGACGGGACTTATTATACATTTTGTAAAGAAATGTATTCACTGCACTTCGGCTGAATGATATTTTGAAAATTTGATTTCTTAATAAGTTATTAAGTCATTAATTAGTCACTAATGGATTAAATACCATTAAAACACCATCGTAATAGGAAAACAAATTAAAATTCTAAAAAAATTATCATTCGATTAATAAACAGGAAAATATTTGTCTATATAATAATTATACCCGATATAACCTCACCGGGAGAGTCGCAATCAGTAAGTATTCAGTAATCAAAAGTATTTGTTTTTGCGAGTACCTATATTATTTTGAACAACGAAAAAATCATTACGAGTATCCAGGTAATTATAATAAAATATTTAGATGAATATTTTCTTTTTATTATTAAAAATCAAAATTAATACAGAATAAATTATAGAAAAAAATATAAATTTAAAAAAAAAAATGAATAAAAATACGGTTGTGGGTTATTTCCACAGCGTTAAATTATTCATGGCTTCTTTAAACCGTCGATGACTTTATTGATAGAGGTCTGAAACAATATTTTGATTATCATAGTTTGTAAGTAAAGTAAGTTTTTAAGTATTTTAAAAGACGACCGCTAAATGCTCAAAAATGACTATTGACTATTATCGGTTATATTATGTTCACAAAAATGTAATGTATCTAACGTATGGGACATTTATGATTCGCACGAGTAGTAGAATGTTGAAAAACAAAACCAAAAATGTCAGGTTTAAAATAACTACTTACTTCGATATCTTTCGTAGCATATGTAATTGAACCGGCCATTTTCTTCGAATCGAATAATTTAATGTCTTTAGTTTCTTTGTGGAATTCTTGTTCTATGTCGTTAAATTTTTCAGCTATTCTCGGATCGATATTTTTACTGATCGTATCCTTCAACGCGGCAATTTTACTTTCCCACTATTATTTACATACAAGAACAATATAGAAAAATAGTATCAAATATTACTTAAATTAAATCGAAATCGAAAAAAAAACTATATTAATAGAATACTATTATTCTAACCTCTGGCTGTTCTTTGATAACGAAGGCCTTCACTTTGTCGTAGGATTTTTGGATGTCTGTAGCAACTATAGGGAGTCCGAGCTTTTGGTTTATGTGGTTGGTAATAGATATACCGGATTGAGCGAATTGATCGACGATTTTTCCGACATTTTCAGCGTCAGTTACGGACGCGGTCACGGTCTACAAAATATTCGTTTAAACATTGAAATCTACAAATTTATACAACGGGATGGCTATAGCGATTACAAAGCAAACAAAAGGACAAACTTTAATATTATGTTCTGTTACAATAGAAATAATACCGATTATTGCAAGTGCAGCAAATCGAAGTTATTAGGTACTCATTAACGATAAGTGGTAGCTAGTTAATGTTATTAAAAACCGTTTAGCCGTCTAACTGTCAAATATTTGAACTTGTTTACGTACACTCCGGTGTTCACTTTTCTTTTTTTACAGTTAAAATAATTGTATTTTATTGAAAACGCTGAGTTATTTTGTGTGTTTTCGCACAAGAAATGCTCAACGCAATAAAGTAGCAATTAGATTTCACAGGGCCCTGCATAATTTGTTTTACCTATACGAATTGACAAGTCTAGCTCATGTAACTAAATTACTCCGTTTTTATATTCCCTTGAAAGACAGTATCCGTGAACTGCAATGGCTGGAGTTTATTTATTACAACTATTACTAATCTCGTTATTTGATATTATAATTATATTATTATTATTCCGAAATGAAATAAATATGTACAACATTGTCATATTAGCCAAATTGTATTGTTTTTATCAAACGCTTAACAAAAATTGAATTTATTTTTGTGATTACATTGTCATTAGCTGTTTTTGTTACTTGGCTATCGAAACCAATCGAATATACACGAATTCTTGTCTTTATATTATAACTCTACGGTTGTACCTTCGTAAAACATTAAATAAATTCCCGTGCTAACGAAACATTTAGGAAAAATATTTAAATTTAATTATTCTGAGCGTGTTTCACGTGGGAAATATTTTAAAGAAAATTGTAGCTGAATTAACTCTATAAACAATTTTTTTTTTATTATAATTTAAAATAATTAATATTTTTCCGAGAATTGCATCATCGACGAAAACACGAAGTGGAGTGGTAAAAATATTTTACGGTGCTACACAGCGCAGTGGACCGATACCTTTATAGGACCGGCACGATGGATTATTTATAAACTATGTTTATTTTTAAAAATGTTCGGCAGAACAAAATGATTACGTTCCGCCAGTTCGACAAAGTTTATAAAAAATACTAATATTTTTTAAAGAAAAACAATTTAGGGTATCAGGATGGTAGAGGTAACAAAATCTGACACGAACTTCAAGTTTAAAATAATGATTCCGCCTACCTATACTTTTGAAAACAAAACAAAATTATGAAATTGTATGCTTAATAGAAAAATATTATTATTATCTTAACGCTTTGATAGCTTTTTGTGGTTTCTGGAGTGCCAGACCTGTGAATTATTTTACAAAATAGAAAATTCTTAGTAAAATAATTAAAAAGATTAATTAATTTATTAAGAAAATTTTGGACATTTTTAGCCGATTATTTTCTTGACAGTAGACCAAATAATCTCCAATCCACTACTATCCTTAACACAAAATTAAGACGGTGAAAAACACAATTTCCAAGTAACTAAGGGTTAATAATATTATTTTAAAATTAAAAATTTTTCAATTTCAGATTAACAAACAAATTAATTCAAAAATATTAAATTACTGCAGCATACCTAATAATATTGTGTATACATTAAAAATCTAACCTGTGCGACGAAGACTACCGCAATACACAAGACAAGTTTTCCGTTCATTTCGATGGCTGTTTTTTCGGTATTTTACTAGGAATAATAACTTTATAAGTAGTTGTACAATAAAGTAATGATCGGTCGAGAATAAATTAAAACGTTATTATAGGGAATATACACCTACACCCAAGGTAACTAAGCGAATAATTTCTATTTTATTTGTTGATTAAATATATTCCCTTGAACTTTATACTTTGAAATTTTATAATTTAGTATCAAATTATTCTTAATAATCAAAAAACAGTAGTATAATAACATTACGGATATTAGATTGTAGATGCATGCGTTTATCAATATAATGTGGACGAGATCAATTTGCAAAGTCCGACAACTATATTTCTCAATCAATAAATCGGATAATTTTGCATTTTTATTACAATTATATTGCAACAGGTGGATAGTAAATTATGCCGTTTTTAATTATATTTAATTATCTAAATCATTCAGTTTGGTCAAAGAATTTTATTCTTCTACAAAAAATAAAAAACGTTGTGAAACGACATAATTTTCACTATTTTCGTCAGACTGTTCTGTGAAAATCTCAGGTCTCTGCAATTATTTTTATCCGAATTAAAACAAAAATAATGTAACCATATGAATGCATTAAAAATACATATGTTTATCACTTTTTCCCCTAATATTTTCTAATTATCATGGAAACCATCAAAAAACACAAATTACACAAATCAAAATTTGAATATATGTAAAATTTAACCAAAGAACGGGGTGAACACGCTTCGTAAATTACCCTGTGTATAGCATAAACACCCAAAATCCGTAAATCTGCGTAAGAAAAAAAAAACCAACATTTTTTCTCAACTAAAACCGTTTAATAGACTTTTAAATCGTATTATGTGTGCTATATTTTCTAAAAGGAAATTTTATCTCCGTGGTGATTTAAGCAGGTCATTTTTAAACTTTTCAAGCGGTTTTCATAATATCCACGAAAAACTGAGATAAAATGTCCGAAAAACGGAAAATGTACGAGATTTAGGTTTTAATAAAAAATAGTATAGTATTTTTTTTTCTGTGTTTAACTTTTCTACCAGAAATTTTGTTCCGATTTAAAATTGTAGCACTTTTCTGGAAGGAAATCTGACTGGGAAGATACTTTGAGGAGGTCAGTTTTCGATTTTAGGAAAATCGAGTTTTCCCACCAATGTGAAAAACCAGGAAAAAAAAGGAAAACCGGGAAAAAAGCAGGAAAAATGGGAATATCGGTACAATATTAAACTAATATTATTTAAGAAAATATATAATGCCTATTTAATTATTTCACCATAATATGAGATATATATTGTTAACAAAGCATCACTATCAACTGAACAGCGCTCAGAATCGTATTTTTATTAGTATTACTTTATCGTTGCTAACAGATATACATTGAATTACCTATACAAATGACTGCACCAGTCTCCATTATCCTAGGACGTTTTTTTTACTATGAAAACTGTAAGGTCTAAAAACTGTAATTAATTATTTTTTGTATTTCGAGTGTAAATTAAATGTTTTTATTTATTTTGTTTAAGCAGTTAACTAAATTGTCTGCTTGTCCATTTGAACCTCTAAATAAAATGAATGTGTCATCAACATACCTATAATATGCTTTTTCTATGGGCTATATATTTTGTTGTTTATAATATAATAATATTTATAATATTCTTAGTTTCATAATTTTGTACCTAAATTTCAGATAAAAAAGCACTTAAAGGTCCACCCATAACTAACCCTTCTTTTTGCGAATATAATTTATTATTATATCGGAATTATTTTTGATTAATAATTACATTTATTAATTGGTTAATTTCTTGTACTTCATTTATATTGAATTTATTACTATGTATAAGTTTATTTTTTAAAAAATTTACTGTTTCGTGTTTAGTAATGGATGTATAAACATTTTTTACATCAAGAGAAATCATTTTGTGACCTAGCTCACTATTAATTTTATTAATTTTCCAACTTTTTTTTTTTTATAGAAGTATTAGTATTCATGTTTAATTTTTCTTTTATAAGACTAAATATTTAACATGGTTATAATATGGAACAGTTTTAAAGTTAATTAATGGACGAATCGGATTATCTTGTTTATGCAATTTTATGAATAGATGTAAGGAGCCTCTATTTCGCAATCAGATTTTAATATTATTTTCGTTTAGACTTTAGGTATAATTTCATTCGAATTAGTTGTCGGTTTATTAATTTGTTTACTGTAAATTATAGTTGGGTCATATGTCAAGTTTTGAATATTATTATTATTTATAAAATCTAAAGTTTTTTTTTTTAATCTCATTAGTGTGAATGATAGCAATACCATTAAATGGAGTTACTGGAACTATTTCTGAATTATTTGTTTTCAATCCAATGTACATCGTATTCGAGAACAAAGTGATATTGCCACGAAAATACTGTAATCATTTTTACTTTTATAATAATATTATAATTGAATACAAATTTATTTCCCGTATTATGCAAAATACTAATTTTAATAATTTAGTTAATATTGCGAATGTTCCTTATTATGTTAAAGATTTGTCCGATTTTAACGATCTCTGCCGAGATAAAAATTATTATTGCATTGGTATGATTTATCTCCTTTTTTAATAATTTGCTGTGTAAATCCGTTCGATTGCTATTTAGTTTTAAGCTATATTATATTTCTCCTCTTTATCTCACATAAGTCTGATAACTGTCTAATCATTCGCGATAACAACATAATAATAGGATTTTGGTTATATGCGCTGATTGTCATCTGATTATTTATTGATTATTTAATATATATATATATATATATGAAATGTTCTCAACTTATCCTTCCGTATGACTTCTCAGATCAATTATGATGAACTAATTTTTCAAAACATGAACGAAATTGAAACAATTATATGCTCTACAGAAAACATAGAATCATCATTCTACAATAATAATGCTTGTAATATTATAGCTATAAATATTTATAGTGTAAGAAAGCACCTTGATGAATTATGTTTAACTTTAGACAAATTTGTCACTTTACTGTACTTACCTAATAAAAATCAAAACTATGGTATCGTGGTATATTTTTATTTTTTTTATTTTATATTACATTACGAGCTGTTGCCCAAGGTATAGTATGTTTGAAAGGTAATGTAGATAAAATAGTGGGAAACTTACAGGAAATACAGACCATAAAAATAATTTAATTAATATTACACGTTATAGTATACATATACCTATACGTTACACCTTCTACAATAGAAAAGGTTAGAAAGGTTCTAATTTGCTAGTCGCATCATTCGGTGGATAGGGTGGTTTCGACCATGATTTGCGTTATGTCGAGAAACATAGCAAGGAGCAAATAACCTAAGTCCGTTTTTCCAGAGTAGTACAAAAGAATAGTTGACTAGCGTCTCGTGAAAGACATTACCCCTGGCATTTACTGTTGTTTAAGGATAGTCCATTATTACTCAGTGGCGGATTGTGCGCAGGTGCGCAAGCGCGCCACATGCCATTTTATCAAAATAATATATATGTGTAATTATTTTTTTTAGAACCTATTCGTTATAAATTGTCCATTATGAATATCCGGACGCTATTAAAAAAAAAAAATACGCTATTGCTCCCAAAGTAAAAACAGTTATGCAATATGCGCACACCAACCGGCGAGAGCAACGCTGCGACAGCACCGCGCGCCTGTATAAAATATGTACGGCTGACGAGTGCGGGACCGAGAAATACAATGCGACTTGGTGCGCAGCCACTACTGCTAACTGATTTTCAAAACAAACGGTTAGCTACGTTTAATTTTGAGGTTTTTCCGTTTGTATTCTGATTTCTGCATCGAACGGTCGATATTATTGCTCAACACGTGTATCAAGTGTATATGTATATGTATATTTTACATTTTTAACCGTCATAGTGAATTCTTTCCTCTTGGAATTAACACGTCATTTTTTCCATTAAAAATTAATTCAACGGGAAATCGATGGCGTACGAGACGCCGACGATTCGGTTACAACGGACGCGTCCCGCGTTTGGCTGGAAACGAGTTTACAGACGAACTGTGCCACTCGCAAGCACACGGGCAAACGTCAATCGAAATCGAGTTGTTAAATATCGTAATTCGCGTCAGCCAATGTCAGTCACTGGTGCAATAACAATAAACAATATTTTCAAAAGTACGTAGCTATAATAAACTGTATCGAAGGAATTTGTTAGGTTTTTTTTTTTCCCTCCCAGGCCAGGCCTACACGAATCACGGAATACTAAATAATATTATTATGGCCAATATGCATCAGATTTCCACTACTTTTAGTACTATTATTTTTTTATGTATCGTAAAAATACCGATTGGACAAATTCTTTTTAAAATTGTGTAATTCAAATTTCAGTATGGTTTTCACAATTATTTTCGTCAAATTACATTGGTCATTACAGAATCGAAAATCTGCGTATAATTGCACTCACATTTAATATAATATAATATCATAACATTTTTGTTGATTCGTCGTGTTGCTTTATCAATTAATAATAATAAATATTATTATGTTTCGATCCTTAGTTCACAAACTTTCCAAAAGATTCGAACAATTCAAACCTACTATTCAGACGGACTGATTTCGGATCTGAACCAAAACCAAATGACAGATCAACATGGATCAACGATGGATCGACGTCCCACCTTCGACGACAAGAACAGAACGCAATTTAGTCTGTGTTCTAGTCTATGGACATGTTTTTCTTAGTAATCTTGCTCTGCTTTTTATGTGTAGCAACTTTTCTGAGAGCTCAAGTTGTCAAGATGGTATTTTAAAAAGTAATTTTTTTGATTTTTGATTCCATGTTTTGAATAAAAGTACTTAAGTAGGAAATAAACGTACAATTTCACTATTTCATTATTTTATAAAAACATGGACGATGGTTTCTAACAGAAAAAATAATTTAATCGAAAATCACAAGATATCTTCTTTATTGCCTTTTTGATTTAATTTCTTACAATATCATTGCCAAAACTTTTGAGCTTTTAAGGAATTTTAATTTTTAGGAGTTTTTTGCTGTAATTAGAATACACGTAGAGGCTTGAAACTTGGTAATAATACTTATATTGAATTTATCTAGACATGGTAAAATTTCCGAAATCATTGGATGATTTTTTTTTTTTTTTTAATTAGCGTTTTAAAATAAAATTTAAATGATAATTGCAAAAAATAAAAAATTACGGCACTTCAAATTATGTATTATCGAACTGCACTCGGAATAGTCTTTTGTCAAACAATGGTTTATCGTTACTTACAGATATAAATAAAATAACCTTATGTATCCAACCTTCCTAACTTCTCACCTACAACAGTGGCCGCTCCCATCCCCAGTACCAGCTCTTTTTTTTTATTGATAATTATATCAATTAAATGGCCGTTAGGGAAGGACAAGTTCAACGGAAATTATAATTAAGCCGTGCAAAATTTAACAATATTAACGTTATACTATTTGCATTCACTACTGTACGTTAGTATACTCGAGTTCTTTTTTACACAAGTGCCTATATTAAATTGATGAAATGTTGTTGAAAGCTTGTTTGGTCGTTTTTCTAATAACCGTGTCACTTGGTGAAACTCTAAGTTTACCGATTTCCGAGGTAAGAAAAATTTAAGTTTCATATATATTTGAAAATATTACTCTACAAATATTTTTACAATAATATTACGTTTTTTTTTTTTTTTTTTTTAATTTAATCAAAAATCCTAAAAATTATTAAACACTCTAAAAAATCTTCTAAAGATCACTGAGGGACTCAAGAAAAGACTGGATTTGATGGAAGTAAATATTTTTTTTTTCCGTAAATGACAATTTTTCGTATTTTATGTATCAATAATCAACATTATGTGACGGGACTGTCCACCAACGCCACTGCCAAATTGTACTATTAATCGAATAACTAAGCTTTTATTTATTTACCAGTTACAGAATAATACATTGGAGTATCCAAGTAAACAGTTAAATAAAACTGAAACAGATATTTCGTTCGTATTCAATTCAAAAGTTTTAAGTACATTATGATATCATTGTTTTAAATTTCTGTCAACTCAGTGAACGAATATTCCATTTTTAAGTTCGTCGTTTATAGTAGATATAATGGAAAATCAGTGGAGCATTGTTTATTCGGGTCTGGTGCTTGGCGTCAAGGTCTGGCGTTTAGATGATGCTCAATTTTCCTCCAGCTAACAAAATGGCACACTTAAAAGTGTTATATCCCGTCAGCGTGTTAATGGAAATAAAATGGTTCAACAACAAATACAACTAAAACTTAAATTATTATATACTAGCACAATTTCTATAGGTAAATTTCTTTTTGAAAATCAAAAATGGGTATTGATTTCATCCCTAAAAATAAGGGTGATTAAAATAGCTATAATATAACAAGGATGCACCAAGTAAACATAATTCCTTTTCTACTGCTGCGCAATCTCTATCAACTGTGATTTCATCTCTACATTTTTCATGGAACTTATCCTATAAAATACTCCTTTTTTGAATTTCTGAAATGAGACTCCATGACTCTAGGTACCGTGTATAAATTTGAAATGAAATACTAATATTGTAGATACATTGCTTGTCGTCATAGTCGTCGCCGCACCGCACCGCAAAATAAAATCAAACTGATTTGGTTATCAAATTTTGCGTGTGGCGCAGTGCGGGCGATTTTATCGCACCGCATATTTTTGCGGTTGTATCATCCGTACTTGTTTTACCGGATTTGTTTTTCTCCGCGCAACACGCAACGCACGCACCGCATCGCCCCGGATTCAGTTAGCACACAGCGTTATACGTTGCATTTTTTTTCGTTGCGCACACATTTTTGTTTGACCTCCTCCCCACAAATAAGACGGAACATATTCTTTAGGTTGTCTGTGTGGTCGGTATGTGATGATAGACAGAGAAAACTAGCGTTAATATAAAAAGGCCATTCAAGTGCCTGATGTATGAGAATGAGATACAATAGATGATGTCTAAAGTAATTATTTATTAGAGAATCCCACGATTGTAATTGTACAACATGTTTCTTTTATTATATATATTTAACAGTCACGACTGAATGCCGGATTTACAAACCCATACAACAATCCGGTGGAAAAACCTTATTCCATTAATCCCTCAGACATGAATTACGGGTCGGTGTTCGAAGCTATTAATTGGTTAAATAATTACGACGAAATTAATGGGACCTTGGAATACTATACAGAATATATGAAATCTATGTACGTCACTCACAATAATATTGAAGTATTTTTGTTAATTCATTGTGATATTTATCAATTGTTAATACTTGAATATAACACTATTATGTTTTTGCGTTTCAGTCCATTAAACTAAAGTTCTCGAACACGTGCCCAAGAAATGCCCAGGAACCAAATAAACAAATTTTATTTAGAACATTCGACGATACGCACAAAACACAATCCAATATTATAAGTTTAATATTTAACTATAATATGTTTCAAACGATTAAAATTAGGAAAAATAATGTCATACGGCTTCTATAGTATATACGATACATACTTAAAATGAAAAATGTAATAGAATATATTTTGCCGATTAATAACAAACAAAAAAAAGACGGTACGCACTATCCAAACGTAACAAAATGTCCGTCGAAATAATGCCATTATAATATTATAATGTCCTGCATCTACCTCGATATTATTCTCTACCTATACAATTATCCGTAAACAGTAAACGGGCTGTCCCACGGAGATATACCCCTTGAATATCTAGAAAATACAAGTGATCATAAATAAACACATAATTCTATAGTTTGTTATGATTAATTTTATATTCAACAACATCATCAGTGAAATAACCTATGGGTTAGTATAAGTATAATAGGCGCATAATATTATATCCAAAACAGTAAATTGATTATTCAAACAATTCAAATTGGTGGTAATAAAATAATAAAGTAAAAACAAAATTATTAAAATGGTTAATACTCGTAAATAAATATATAAATAAAAAATGAATGAATGCGTCGCCTGGAGTATTATGATAAGTGTACAAGTTTACAAATGAGAACATAAATTAAAAATTCCACAAGATACAACTTAAATGTAATGAAAAATCGAAGTAATCGAAAATATCGGCTTTTACCACGCTTATATATTCCAAAAATCAGAATTTGAATACAGGCAAAATTTAACCAAAAAAAAAAAATAGGATTAGTTCACTTAATGAATCACATTATATATTAACAATATAATACTTATCGGCTATCAAGAATATTTAACGTAATATATTATATTATTGCATCGTTCGCACCACGTTATGTTTGCACCTCAATCGGTTTTTGAATTTTGAGTTCAAAAAGTTTATAATAAACCACGATAAGTGCACACTGCGCAGATATAATAATAATAAATATTTAGACGAATATTTGTATTTTTTTTTTTATAAATTAAAAAAAACCAAGTACACAAAATAATTCTATAACAATGGTATATAACTGATAAAACTAAAAATAAATACGCTATAGGTCTGTGGGTTGTTCCGCTGTATGCGAGAAAATAATCACGGCTTCTTCACGCCGTCGAGGGCCTTGTTGATGGCGGTCTGAAACATATTGATTCAATTGTTTATTTTGTTAGGTAAGTTCCTAATTTTTAAAACGTGAACATTTATTTCTCCAATATGACGGGCTTAAAAGCATACATTTGTTCACAAATATTTACCAAGGCAATTTAATATCGTTTTATCGAGTAATATTAGTTGTAGGCAATCATTCAGTGGCGTATTTCGTATTTTTCATAGAGGGAAGGTACGGGAAGATATTGAAGTAAACAGTTTGGTCATATTGTATAAAGTTTACAACTAGCCGATTTGAAATAGTCGGGATAAAGGCGAAGGAGAAGAAGAAGAAGAAGAGTAAGTAATGTATGATTCAATATGTTCTAAAATTATCATTGGAATCAAACAGCTAGTTATAAATAGGTAAGCAATTATAAAAAAATGTATTTACTATTTAGGTTAGGTTCATATTATAGCGGTTACGTTTTGTACAAAAGAATCGGATTTTTTTATTTTTCGGACTAAAGGCAAAATAAATTCGAATTTAAAACTTTATTTAATAATATGTCAGTAGCCATTTAAATACAATACACTATAAAAAAAATAATTGTGAAAAAGGCATGGGTAATATATTTCCTTAACAAGTCCTGTAAATATGCTACAGCAATCGTTATATTATACAATAACTTTACTCACTTCGACATCTTTCGTAGTAAATAGAATTGAATCGGTAATTTTCTTCAAATCGAATAATTTAGAGTCTGTAGTTTGTTTCTTGATTTCTTTTTCTATCTCGTTGATTTTCGCAATTATTCTTGGATCGACATTTTTACCTATCACATCCTTTAACGTGACAAGGTCACTTTCCCACTGTACACATACAAGAACAGTATAGACAAATAATATCAAATATTAATTAAATTGAATCGATATCAACGAAAAAAAATCATATGACTATCGTAATAAAATATAATTATTCTAACCTCTGCCTGTCCTCTGGTAACGAAGGACTTCATTTTGTCGTAGGATTTCTGGGTGTCTGTGGTATTTACGGGTAGTCCTAGCATTTGGGTTATGTGGTTGACAATAGAAATACCGGATTGCCCGAACTGATCGCCGATTTTCCTGACTTCTTCGCCATCTATTACGGATGCGGTAACGGCCTATAAAATATGAATTCAATAATCCGTTGAAATATTGAAATTTGCACTCTAGTGTAGTAGTATTGTCTTAAAATGTTAAATATCTCACGCAAATAATTCATTTTATGAAAATATTTGAATTATACCGTAAAGTGGACAATTTTTCCAAAAATCGAATATCGTTGACAAAATTAGTTAAATTAAATTCAAATTCCTTTTTTAAATAATCGAATAAATAATTTTTAAAAAAAGTATTCAAATACCTGGTCTGAATATTTTATTTTTCACATTTTTATTCATTAAAAAATACTTTTTTTGAACTCTAAAAATAATTTAAAATTTTTTACGAAACAAATTTTTATATTAAGATTATTATGAACCATGAACAATGGATTTTTTCTCTTTGAGTGAAACATGATTGATCTAATATTCCGTGATTATTGTTTGATTCTTTTTAAAAAATCTAATATAATTCGCGTTGACAACTTCTCGTGCTGCACCAACCGACGGGCAACAATAAGTAAACTATATGGCCCTATCGCATCATTCGCATGTGTTTTCGTTATTAATTATTATGTACATTGTGTTAAGATTAAACGTTAGTTTCCATGCATTCCAAAACTGACAAAAATCAACGGGGATAAGTGTATTCTAAAAGTATTCAAATACTTTAGTATTCATTTCTTTGAATACGTATTCCGAATACAAAATAAAAGTATTCTTTACAGAACTGCCCTTAATAAAAATTAACTAAGACGCTGAAAAAGAACTCAAAATGTTTAGCCAATTAAACGCGGCGGTTATTCGAAAATATCATTAACATTCGTCAACATTTAAATACTATAATAATAAATTAATACGAAAATTAAATATCAGAGTTTACCTGTGCGACGAAGACGACGGCAAAACAAAATACGAGATTTCCGTTCATAGCGATGGCCGTTTCTTCGGTATTTCACTTGGTCGAATAACTGCGGGTTTATTAACAGTTGTACAAGCAGTAGTACGATACTAACAAGTTGTACGATCGATAATGAATTAAAACGCTTTTATAGGAAACACACCTACATCCGGGATGATATTTATTTTGTTTGCCGTTCGATAATTTTATTATACACTCGGACATTATATTTTGTAATGTAACTATTCAATCTTATGATATACATTACGAATTTAAATTTAAAAAAATACTAATTACCGCTATACGCACGGTTCATTGAAAGTTGGCGTTTATTAACACAACAGTGCGAACGAGGTCAATTCTTAAAGTCCGATACGAATCGATTTTGCAATCAATTTATTGCTTTTCGATAATTTCGCGAGGTTTATTGAATTTTTTTGTAGTTGTACTAAATAGTACTTTACGTATCGTAGGTTCGAAATCCGAATTCTTCCGGGTGGATTTCGCACATTTTCAGTTGAACACATTTTGCAATTTGTTAAAGTGTTAAATCGCCACTATATCCGGTACATAAAACAGTATGTATCGAAATTGTACTTGCACTGGGTACTTTAATAATTAGAACGTATATTTTTAAATGATATTTGAAGTCGTCTCATCTATGATAGTCGGCGACAATTTTTAAGTATTATCGTTCTCCGAATGGATATTACATAAATGATCATGGCGATTTACAACGGACGATTTAACTAAAATTAATAATTGTAAAATAAACGCCACTGTTTTCTTTCGCAATTATGCAATTCAAAACAATTATTATCATAGTTTTATATCCTTGTTTTTGTTTTTTTTTGTGTTTCAATTGATCTCTTGATATAAAAATCGACAAAAGAAAATAATCCATAAAGCACACACTATAACAGCATATACTTTTAGGGTAATGTCTTAAGAACAGCCTTACACGTAAAACACGTCCTGTAGTATACGAGTATAACGACATTTTTGAAATAATAATAATTTATCAATTTGAAAATACGTCTTAAAAAAAAAATAGTACGGACAAATATGGACAATATTAAAGAAAACAAAGTAGTTTTAGATTTTTATACTCGAAAAAATATCAAATAATATACTACAATATGGAGTTTTATAATATACAAGGATTTGTTTTAGTTTTTTTCTAATAATGCATTTATTTGTTATGCGCACACTGTTATTATCGTGTCTAACGTTTTTTTTTATTTGATTTGGATAATAGTTCTGACATTCCAGAGTAACTTTATATGAATTTTCCCCTACCCCTACTATAAATTATAATATTACCGAACACAATATTATATCAATCGATTTGGTGATAAATATTAATGATAATAATACAATAATAAATGCAAAAAAATGCATTCTAACATTTTTCAAATCTCGGTATTTACTATAATTACCCATTTTTCTAAAAGATATTTTAAATAGCTAATATGAAGTAAACTCGGAAATATCGCCATATAACGTTATATGAACTCAAGACATTATTGTTCTCGGAAATTATATCAAAATTGTCTTATTAGG